TACAGCACAGGTTTCCTTCTGCTCTTTATTTTGCCATTGAACTTAGTCCAACCTCCTCATTTTCCTTGTGCTACACCATCAAACACACCTTCCGGGTCCATTCCTGAACAGTAGTGATCCCCCTCCTCAGGGCCATGATGTCAACCAGGACTTAACCCAAGGCCTTGCTTTCCCCTCACCACTACCCAACCTGCAAATACACTCCATTTCCCCCTCTCTCAGAGCACGGTTCTGCAGTGACATACTTAATCCCCAGCTGCAGCTCTTCTGTACTGTAAGATACAACCAAAAGCAGCCAGGTTGAGGGTCTGGCTCACGCAAGGAAGCGAAGGCTGAAAACCTACTTGTGTCTCACGAGGGACCTACAGCAACAGCCCCAAAGAAAGCCTCCCAGCAAGGCTGCATGGATGTTACTAAGCAAAAGACCTTTTGCTGAAGTGGCCACTCACCCACACAAGCAAACACAAGGCACACACACTGCAGCATGTGCAAACACCAGGAACCTGTTCAGCTCTTCAGCAGCTGAAATAATTAAACTCCAAGGTATCGAACCAACATCTCAACCCTGTGACTTCCTCCACCTTTGCTTTTCTAGCAGAATCCAAATCGATCTTTTCAATTGTTGGTGCTGCTAAAGAAGATTCGTGAAGCATCCCTGGGAAACCTCCCACCCTTTCATCTGCTTTCTCCACTCATTCTGTGAGCGAGACAGATCTCTTCTCCTTGTCATGGTTTAACCCCAGTCGGCACTTAAGTACCATGCGGCTGGTTGCTCACTCCCTCCCTGCGGTGGGATGAGGAGGAGAATCAGGAAAAGGTAAAACCCGTTGAGACAAAAACAGTTTAATAATTGAAATAAGGTAAAATATAATAATAATAATTGTAATGAAAAGGAAGAAATAGAAGAATAAAACCCAACAAACACAAGTGATGCACAGTACAATTGCTCACCACTTTCCCATCCTCAAGCAGCAATCAATTCCTTCCTGCCAAATCCCACAGTTTATATACTGTGCATGATACTCTATGATATGGAATATCCCTTTGGATATTCAGGCCAGCTGTCCTGGCTGTGCTCCCTGCCAACTTCTCGTGCCCCTCCTCACTGGCAGGGCATGAGAGACATACAAGTCTTTAATCGAGGCAAGCACTTCTTAACAACAGCTAAAACATCTGTGTGTTATCAGCATTGTTCTCAGACTAAAGCCAAAACACAGCACTGTACCAGCTACTGGGGAGAAAGTTAATGATATCCCAGCCAAAACCAGGACGTTTCCATTACAGAAAGGTACCTGTAGAAAGATGCCTTCCTCATGCACTGTGCCTGGCCAGCATTGGAGAGCAGCCTTGGGCAGCTTAGGGTGATGGGGTGACAAGGTGGAAGAGACAGCAGTTTTGATTAGAAGCTGGTAAAGGTGATATGGCAAATAGCATTCCTCTGTTTTTCTGTGCAAGCTCTGAGAGGGGAAGAGAGCACATGATTGTTGGAAGAGTTAAAATAATTAGCTGGCAACCTGCTAAGGCTGGTCATGGATTAAGAACCAGCAGCTAAACTCAAAAGCATATAACTGGAATTCCCTATAGTTAACAGTACTACATGCCCTGACCACCCATCACACTGTTACTTCTCTGCTTGCGAGCTGCCTTTGTAGGGCTGTCCTGACTGCTTGCAGAGTGGCTCTGTACAAGGTCCCGTTCCCATGAGCACAACGGGCCACACAAGCAGCACTTGAGCCTGTTGCTCTGACAGGGTTTCAGACAGCTTCCCGTCTTCCCCAGACCCTGTCTCTGCAGAGGGACGCGCCATGGCTGTGCTCAGCCAGTGTGGCAAAACAGCCTCTGCAGGATTAAAGCCGAGCTGGTCAGGCCAAGTGATGACAAGCTGGAAAGAAAATGCAAGCAAGGAGTCATTAATTAAGGTGAGAAGCTGGGAGCGGAGACTGCCAGCATGTTAATTGGTCTGGAGAGGAGGTTGCGTGGAAAGCAGCAATCAAGCTCTTTTCGGCTTTAATTAAACCTGTCTCTGTCGAGGACATGGCACCTTTTCTTCACCTCTGCTTTTGAGCTGAGAAACCGGTTACAGCCTGTGTGCTGTTACTGGGCAGACAGGAATTCCCTCCTGACTCTGGAGCCTCCACAACCCAGGCTCGGCGTCTGCCCTTCCCACCCACATGCTCCCCAACACTGGGGCTTAGCACCAACCAGAGGTTAGAGATGGGAGCCAGTGATGGCAAATGTTTGCAGTGCTTCAGTGCCTTCCCCCAGATCTTCTCTCTGTCCTGATGTATTAAGGTAGGCTTTGCCCCAGTGTGCAACGGTCAGTCCCAACCCGATCTGCTCTCTTTGCAAGCTGGGACCAGGAGGAGCAGGATTAGAAGGAGCAACAGCCTGGCTGCTTGTGGGCAAGAACAGGCAGTGTCTGACTGTGCTGGCATCACTGCTCCTGACTGCTGTTCCCTTCTCTCTTCAATGCTTTGGTCTCTTAAGTGAGTCCTCATGCACAGACATGAGGGATACACATTTGTGTTACCCAGAGGCTGCTTGAGGCCATGAGAGCTGGCCACCAGCCACAGCATTGCATGCAAAGGGTGGCTGCAGGACTACCCATTCCCAGAAAGATAGGCAGTTGCTTCCGAAAGACACTGGCCACAGGGGAGCAACAGCCAGCATGGAGGAAAGGAGCTGGAGACACCATAGAACTGGTTTGTCTTGGAATGGGCCTTAAAGCTCATCCAGTTCCAACCCCCTGCCACGGGCAGGGACACCTTCCACTAGAGCAGGTTGCTCCAAGCCCCATCCAACCTGGCCTTGAAAACTGCCAGGGATGGGGCAGCCACAGCTTCTCTGGGCAGCTTGTTCCAGGGCCTCACCACCCTCAGAGTGAATGACTTCTTCCTAATGTCTAATCTAAATCTACCCTCAGAAACAAGGCTAGGAGGTGAGGGAGTCACAGAGTGCAGAGAGCAACATTGAACACTTGAATGGAAAAAAAAGATCATTCCCAGCGCAGCGCTTTAGCTGGCCTCTGCATGGGAAAGGAGTGTCGTTATTGCTGAGCTCTAGCAAGGCATGCAGCAGCTTCAGCAAAGATTAGAAATACCATGTCACCTGGGAATTTTAAGAGTGAGCAGGACAAAGCAACATGGGAATATTACACAATCAGGAGCAGGGGACGGAAAGAGAAGAGAAATAAGGGGGCTCATGGCTCTGCTCATGCATATCACAGCTCTGCAAGCTCCTTGCTGCCTGATGTTCAGGGCATCGTAGGTGCAGATCTGCCTCCGCATGAAGAGTTCACACTCAGGAGCCACACAGCACTAATTAAATGCCATATGTAATTAAGGAAAAAGAGGGTTTTTGCAGTCATGTAAAATCTGTAAATATTGAGGCGGGATGGTGGCAGGTCTGATGATTTGTGGCTGAGGCGTCTGAGCTGCTGCAGCATTGTGGAGGAGGTGGCTGAGGAACTCTGCGGGACTTGAGCTTGGTGTAATGGGTCTGTGTGAGTGAGCTCATCCCTTTCACTGCCAACAGAAACCCGTCTCAGTGGGGATGAGGTGTGGGCCTGATGATCCTGGCCTCTCCCATAAGAAAACAAAGCCCCTGAGACATGGTCAGAAAGCGTGATGCTAACAGGTATCTATCTCGCTCACCTCTCACCATGGATGACCTTCCATGGGCTGTTCCCTTGGAACCAGGTCCAACGAAAGCAGTTCTTTTTGTCCCTCACTGTCTCTCAGGTGATCTTTGTCCCCTTTCTAGGCCTTCTTCCTGCTCTTGTCCTACGACATCATCAGAAAGCTCTCAGGCCACAGGACTGAGGCTCAAACATGGCAAGGATCTGTTCTGCTTGCACCCACAAGCCAAGTGGCATCACACCGCTTGGGTCCCCATGGCGAAGCTGTCTCGTCCCACAGAGGTGGCTGCAGTGACCTGCGGCACATAGGCTTGGGACACTGGGGAAGCCGAGTATCCTACTTGGTTGCCCTCCCCTCACCACTCATGTCATGACAAAGTGACCAAATGGGAGCTGCATGAAGGCAGCCACACGCCTGGACCTCAACATTGCAGCAGTGCAAATCCCACCGGCTCCCTCGCTACACTGATCAAAGGCCTTGCTTGGGTGGTGCTTTTCTGGCTTCTTTGGCAGCCTGATGATGGAGAGAAATGCTGGAGAAAGCTGTCTTGGGACTATGGTCCACCACAGCCAAGTGATGCTCACCACAGCTCTGGAGCAGAATGACAACAGAGGGCGAGGAGAAGGCTTTTGCCAAAACTCAGGTGCTCTGCCAGCACACTGCTTCCCACCTTCCTCATGCCCCTTTGTCCTCCCTTCTGCCCTCTGCTTCTAGCCCCTCGCTTTGCTCTGCTTTCCCACCACTGCTTTCTGTCCCTCTGGATGGCTCCTCCCAGCCCCACACATTTCTCGTTTATGTTACCCCCACCCCGTCATCTCACCATCCATCCTTTCCCCTCTTTCTGCTGTTTTCCTCTCCTATGACTTTCTCTTGAACACTTTTGCTTATGTTTTTGAGACATAGGTATTACAACCCTCAGCTTTTCTTCTTCCATATACATCTGCAGTGCCTGTGAAGTAAAACACAATAAACGCTGCCCTGCTACTAAGCTGGGACCACCAGACTGTGGTCAGACAGCTCACACAGCCTCCACCACCTAGAACCCAACCTGCAGTGCCCCGTGCCAGGCAGAGTTTGTATCCAGCACACAGCAAATGTGGCAGGAGGAGGAAATTACCAGGGTTTATTAAGGTCAAGCAGGGGAGAAATTCCAGCACCTTCAGATAGAAAGGGGTGCTAAGGAGACAAGAACTAAGTGCACATGGGTGTTACGGGCCTGTTTCTTTCTCCTTTGCCTCACCACAACTGTCCCCTGGCTCCAAGGCTCTTTTTGCAGCCTGGCCACTACCTTCTGCTTTGGTGACGGCCATTGTTTCTCTCACAGTCGTCATCATCACATGGAAGGAAGTTGTCTGGCCACACACATAGGGCTAACATCACTGAATAACCTTACTGCTCAGAGAGCAACAGGTCCTTCAGCCCCAGAAGGAAGGGATGAAGCTCCGAGTAGCAAGCAAAGATCAAAGCGGAGGCAGCAGTCCCTCAGGAACCTGCAAAAAGCAAACAGAAAGTAAGCAGAGGGGCAGATCAGATGGAGCAATGTAGGGAAAGGGGGAGTTACTTGGTTTGTTTAGGAAGGAAATACGTCTGAACTGCAAGTAGCACTGTGAACTGGGAGGGTGTCCTGCAGGATGGGCTTGCAAGAGCTAAAGCCATGTGGGACAGAGCTCTAGGAGACAGAAGCGTCCTCCAGCGACTATTTCTAGTGGGGCAGGGTGGAGAGAAGAGGCTGGACAGATGGTCTGCTCCTCCTTGAACTTCAGAGAAGCCACATGTGCAAAGGGGAGGCACACAGAGGTGTCAGCACAGAAGCCTTTCCATCCTTTACCGGCTGTGGCATAAAGCATTTGAGTATGACTAATGACTGCTGCAGAGTTTGCATCACTGAGCTGTTGGCACAGATGGCTGACTTCCTTGTACATCAGCCAGTGTGGCAAAGGTCCTTTGATCTGGATGCAGCGACTAGGGAATGGGATGGAGATAGACAAGGGTTGCCCATGGGAAAAGAAGGGGGTGTGGGCAGGGGACAGCATGTCCCTGCTTGGGGCTGCCAGGATAGAGGCTGGCAGCTACCCTATTAACACTCAGGTCCCCATGCACTGTCTCCATCCTTCCCACCCATGCTCTGATGTGCCTTTAACAGCCTGGATTTCCTACCAGGATGTTTTCATTTTGGTTGCCTCCCTCTTAGAGTTCCAAGGTGCTGCACGAAATTAGCAAGTTAGGAAGTTGGGGAATGGAGGCCTTAAAACCTGTTGCAGGAATGCCACCCAGGTGCCACATTAACATGTCCCTCCATTCTGCATCTGTACGTATGGATTGTGCCATTCCTATGCACGTTGGGCCTGTGAGCGAAGGTGAGTAGGGACAACAGGTTAACCATTGCCATAGGATCTTTCAGTGCTGCGTGCCTTCCCCTCTGCCTGTTTGAGAATGGAGTGGCTACTCACTGGCTGGAAAACGGGTTTCTTCACTTTGTTCATCTGTAGTGAACAGTCAGAAACTCCTGAGCTCCTCCTGGGGGTCACAGCTAGGGGATGGGCAGCTGTTGCCAAGCTTTCCTCTTCCAGTAGCTCCTTCTGAGCAGAGAACACAGTATCTTGTAGCTGGTGAGTCCATGCTCTGGTATGACTGGCACCTTCAGGGTCCCTCTTCCTGGTGTTCTCCTCTGGGACCTGGGCCGCTTCATTGTTGGCTCCATAGAAACCTCTGGTGCTGCTGCTGAAACCTTTGCCCGCGTTAACCACATGGACTTTCTTTCCAAATCTCTTCTTCTTCTTCTTCCTGGTCTTGTTCTGGAGGAAGAGGCAGGTGAAGACGTGCTTGAAACGCTTGCGGAAATGCTTGGAGATGAGGGCATAGACAATGGGGTTGAGGCAGGAGTTGGCATAGGAAAGACAGTGGGAAGCCAGGCGGCAAACGTAAGTGGCTCGGTTGAAGGGGAAGTGGCCAAACCAGAAGCACAGGATGACCAGGTGGTGGGGCAGCCAGCAGAGGCAGAACAGGATGGCCACAGCCACAATCATCTTGGTGACCTTACGCTTGGCCTTCCGGGAATCTGAGATCCTTTCTATGGGATCTACGGAGGTCCACAGGAACTTGATGGTCCTGGCGTATGCCAGGCTCACAACGGTCACGGGCAGAAGGTATCCAAAGACAAACGTGAGGATGTCCAGAATCTTCCGGCGCTGGTCCTCCCAGATGGGGACACAGATGGGCACCCCGTGGTAATGGACAATCTGGTAGTAACTGAGGTAAGGCCCCGCAAAGAGCAGCGACAGTGACCAGATGGCTACAATGGCCGCCCCTGCGTTTCGGGAGGTGCGGAGGTCTCGGGACTTCAGTGGATAGCGGATGGCCAGGTACCTGCCGAGGAGGGGAAGGAGAAGTGGCACAAACACAACAAGGGTGACATGAGGTAACACTCCTGCCCTGTGGAGCTGTGCATCTTTACCCATCTTCCCCTCTCCCCGCCTCTTAGTAGGTGAATAGAGATCGGGGTCATCCCACCAGCAGGTGTGGGATCTCCATCACACGCTCTGCTGTGCTAGCTTGGGAAGGTCACACAGCATGCCTCTTGAATCAGGGAAAAGAAGGATAGGAGCAGGACCCAGAGCCTCTTTGTTTCTCCTGTGGTGTGTTGCTGCCCTGGGGCTTTTGTTGTTTTAGTTTTACATAGTGGACACTAAACCTAAGTATGTGCTTGCACTTCTTCCCAAGTGAGAGCTGCGTAACCAAGCCAAGAAGCTGGCTTGGTGCTGAGAGAGGACATGGGGAGCTGGGGATGCTGGCGCTGCTGGCCCTGCCTCTTGGGGACACCCTATGTGCCTTTTACAGGACATTCAGCAGGGTAAGGACTAGCCTTTCTCCCACCCTTTAGCTTAGGGGTGGCAAACACATTATCCCTGAGCTGAGGGATTCACAGGGAAAGGGACACTTACCTGTCAATGGAGACAGCAGCCAGGGTGAAGCTGCTGGCATACATGGTGAGGTAGATCAGGAAATGCACAGCCTTGCAGGCAAAGGCCCCAAAAAGCCACCCATCCAGGGTGTAAATGGTGGCCTGGAAGGGGACGCAGCAGATGATGAAGCACAGGTCAGCCATGGCCAGGTTAAGGATGAAGAGGTTGGTGGTGTTAATGACTTGGCCGTTGCGCAGCAGCACGGCCAGTACCAGCCCATTCCCCACGGTACCCAGGAGGAAGATGAGGGAGAAGATGACAGGCACAATAATCCCGGCTGCTTGCAGCTCTGGACTGTTGGAAGAGGTGTTCCATCCCCCTGGCATCTGCCCATCTGACCTGTGCAAGGAGAAAGGGAGACACAGCACCTATACACGGGCATAAGCATGTGGGTGCCTGTCATTGCTGACCACCGTGGCCACCAGCCTTTGTTTGAAGTCCACATTTCTCCCAGAGATGCCAATCCCAATCAGCTGGTTAAATTATGACACCAGGATCCTCGTGATGTCTCCAGTAGATGCTGTTGGGATCAGTCAGCCCATATCTGCCTGGTTTGAGTGGAGCTGAAGTCCTTTTCTCCGCCCAGACACCATCATCACAGCATCTTCTTGCTCCCACAGCCTCCCCTACATTTGTCCTATAATCCCAAAGCTGCTAAACCTTTTGGGATTGTTTGCTTTGGCAAATCTGAATCCCTGCTGCTGTTCCACATGCCATGGGGAAGAAGGCTGCTGTGGGCAGTGAACGGTCCTGGCACACTCACCCCAGGGCTGTGCCACCTCCAGCAGCAGGGACCTGATGCCTGTATGACACCCTGCAGCAGCAGCACCCCATCACACTCCCAACCCCAAAGAAGCTCCTTAAACTGGGACCACCTCCACCCTGGAGCTGGCTGCTCCTCATTCCCTGCTCAGTACTTGTGTTTCGCAGAGGAGAAGCAGATAAGGGCACCTTTTCCTGATGCTGAGGTGTGGTCTCAGGTTGGATGGTGGCAGCTAGGAGAGGATGGGGTCGGGGAGGGAGACCCTGGAGCCGCCTGAAACGCAATGTGGTGATCATTGTGAAGGAGCAACAATCAACCGCACCGATGAACAATTACTGCAGCTCAAGATACTGTGGTTTGCTGCAAAACTTCCTCCAGCCCTAACACCGTGCTCAGACTGAGAGCTCCGACAGCCTACCTCCTAGCAAGCCATGTTGTGCTATCATTAGAACAAATTGTCCTTGGCTGAGCAGCAGCCAAGAGGGAAAGACACCATTATCTAGCACTGTTGACATGCAGTTAACTCTCTTTTGGACCACACAAGCTCCTTCACCCCATGCTCTCCCATCCCTTGGCTCCCACCATTTCTCTTTCCCAGCTACGTCTCCTTCACACCAAAAGATTGGCCCTACCTCTTTGGCTCTGCAGTCCCCACTGTCCTACTGGTAACTACCTATCTCCTCCAGCCGGCCCCGTGGTGTCTCCTTGCCCAAGCAGAGGACCCCGACCCCCCTCTGTGCACGCACCTTGCGTTGTGTCCCCCCTCATGGAGCCGGAGCGCACCTCTCGTTCTGGGGAGCTGGCACTCACCTCTGAGAGGAAGGGCCTGCAGCTTCGCAGCTCGCTGGGGGAAGCTCCAGTCCAGCCCAGCAGCGGTGGCGGGGAGGATGCAGAGAGTTTGTCCCGGCAGCGCCGTCCCCCTGCCCGCCGCCGGCTCTGCGCTCTCCTCTCCCGGCTCCCGCACGCGTGTCTAACCTGCTGGAGCGCCTTCCCTCTCTCTGTCTCCCCCCCTCTGCTCTCGCTGCTGGTCCATTGATCTCTGTTGAGTGTTTTTTTCCTTCTCCCTGAGGTTGGGTTTGGAGTTAACTCCTCTCTGCCCAGCCTTCCGCAGGCTCAGCTGCTCTCTGCTCCACCGGGGAGGGGACAGTGCAGGAAAAGTCTGATGCTCTCTGGTATGAGAGGCAGGATGGAGGGGAGCAGGGTCCCATGGGCCCCGGCAAGCCTTGCAGGCCCCCCTCGGTGCTGGGTGTTCAGGACATGTTGCCCAGCACCTCTGGGAACATGAGTATCACCTCGTCCTTGGGATATGGGTTCAAACCCTCTGGAACACGAGCATTAATTGCTATGACTAGCTGTTACTAATTCATTGTTAGTAGCACAGCACAGAGGAGACCAATTTTCTCCCACAGTGCCTGACCTGGGGAAGGAGGGGAAAGCAGGCTTTGGCTTCCATCCAGCCCAGCTCTGCCATCCACCAGCATTGCCCAGACACTGCAGTGTGAGGAGAGAGGAGAAGCCCTCCAGGGGGGCCATCTCCAGAGGTTGAGCCCTACGACAGCACATGTGCTTGCTGATGTGCTGAGAGGCACAATGCCCCACCACCTCCTGCCCTGCCATCGTGTCTATGCCCCCAATGGACCTGTGCCCTGCGAACTTCTAGGTGTGCTGAGGGCAAGGGCTTGGTGGTCCTTCTCCAGCAAGACCTGAAGGCCACCAGCTTCCCTTCACTGGGAAGTCTTTTCAAATGATGGAGCAGGAGGCACTGACCCTTTCTCCTCCCCAGCAGCCCCATGTCCCTGTTGATGGCATCCCTCTGCTAGCAAGAGGAACAGCGTGACCTCTCCTCCCCGCCTGCCCCTCCGTCTGGAGGAGCGAGGTGTCCCTGCCGGCTCGCTATCAGCCACTGTAACCAGGGAAAAGGGGAAGGCCATGTCTCAGGATAACGCAGGGGCTGCGGTGGAGTGCATCCTGCAGCACAGCCTGTCGCAGTGCCGCTCGCCATGGACGGAGCACACCAGCGCTGCCTCTTCCTCCTCCTCCTCCTCTTCCTGCTCCCACAGCCGAGCATCCCGGACCCGCCGCCACCTCCGGATGAACCCCAGGAGCCGCCGCTGCCGCCGTCGGGCACCGCTGACCCCAGTGCCCACATCCTGCGCGGCCGCCCCTCGGCCCCGGTGCGGCCATACAGCCTCTCGCTCTCACCTGAGGACTACCACTACTACCCCAAGCCGCGGCACCTGCGGGCCGGGCACCTGCGCCGGCTGCTGGGCTCAGCCTTCGACCCGTTCTGGATGGCCACCGCCGAGCCGCGCCGCCGCAACAGCAGCGCCGTCGAGGACACCCTGGAGACCCAGAGGCGGGACCTGGCGGGGGGAGCCGGGCGCTACCGCCGCAAGCTGTGGCGAGAGGCGGAGGGGCTGGAGCTGCCCGCGCTGCTGCCCCCCGGCCCGGCGCTGTCCCCTGAGCTGCGGAGCGCCGTGTCCCGCAGCCTGCGGCAGTGGCTGGTGGAGCAGGCTGCCTGCCGCCTCACCTCCACGTGGGTTCACCTGGGAGCTGTGTTCTGGCCGCGCTGGGTGCGCCACACTGCCTGCGAGACCGGGCCCCGCAGCTGCTCCTGGCCCCCCGGCATGGGCTGCCGGCCCGCACAGCTCACACACATCAAGCTGCTGGCCTGGCACTGCTGGGCCGTGCAGCACCCCGGGCCCCCGCGCTGCGCATGGAGGCAGATCCCGTACCCGGTTGTGGCCGCCTGCAAGTGCTCCTGCCGCTGAGGGGGTGCAGGAGGACACCTCTATCACCGGGCCAGGGACACCTCAGCCTCAGGGCCAGGGAGCTGAGGGGTAATCCCTGAAATGGAGAAATAAACCTCCGGAATGAAGTGGGATCAGCTGTGGTCATTGCTGTTTCTCGCCGAAGCCCCTGGACAGGGCTGCTTTTTCCCTCACCTGCCAGCACAGGCAGGTAATTACCACCCATGCGGGACCGGGGCATCGAGGCACCCGACAGCAGGTTCAGACCCTGTTTCCATTAGCCCCAGTGGACTCGGTCCAAGCTGGAGCATCAGCAAGCAAGGGCAGAGGGATGCCAGCGGGGAAAGGGTAGAGGGAACTGAGTCATGGATCAGGGTGGAAATGGTGTGGATAGGGGCTGGGCATCACTGGGAAGGGGAGCAGGTTCAGGGCTGCAATGAGGCAGCCTGGTAAGGGTGGAAGAAGTGGGGGGTGGGCAGAGACCTACCGCTGGAAGTGGTTTTGGGGGGTGCGTATGGAAACTGGATGGGATAGACAGTGCCCTGCTTTGAGCTACAATGGGTAAGATACAGGGATCCCACACCTATCCCTGTACATGGTGTAGAGGGTGATGGCTCAAGACCCAGGAGGAAGCCTGGCAGAGCAGTGTACAGGGTCTGGGGTGGGTCAGCAAGCCCGGTGTGGGACCTGCATCCTTGAAAAGTGGCATCTGCTGCTGCATCCCACCCAGCAAAACACCCTCTGCTTTCTGGGCTGTGCTGCACAGAACTGTACCTCAGCCCTTCGTTGGGAGGCCTGAAGAAATAAGGAGCTGGAGGCTTTGCCTGGGAATGTGGTATTAACATGGTGCCTGCAATCAGTGGGTGCTGCATTGTTTGTTTCCCATGTGCCATCATCCGAGCCTCCTGCCTTCCTGCATCCCTGTGTCATGCAAACCACAGTCTGCTGCTGAGCTTGGCTTTGAAGCCAGTGGAGAGGGAGATGGACAATGGGGGGGACCTGGAAGAGACAGAGAGGAGAGGGAGGCAGAGAGGAGGCAAGAAGCGCAGAGCCCTTGTGTGCACACAAGGACAAGTGTGTGTATTGCAGTGAGGGAGGCTGCTGAGCTGAGCGGTGAGAGACATCTGTATGGCTGCTCTCCAGTGAGGACTTGAGTGCTGGAGCAGGGTTAACAGCTTGGGTTGGCTGCCCTGAGTGCAGCAAAGCCATCATCAGGGCGACCAGCAGGAGGTAGGGAGGTGGGAGCATGGAACAGGATTGCAAAGGAGGTGTGCAAGTAGGGGGGAGCGAGATGGTGCACATGCATGGGCTCAAAACAGTGGGGGCTCAGGCTGGGCCCTGCCCCAGAGCCCATCTGGCTGAAGCAAGAGGGGCTTGAGCACAACCTCCTGCTGCTTCCCCATTATATTCCCCATTCCCAAGATACTGCCTGTTGATAAGGGGGTAGGGTTTGCAGCACTGCTGTTATGCAGAGTGAGCTCTATATTGTACTTATCAGCAGGCTGAGCTCAGGGTCCTGTGGAGATGGAAAATGAAATAAAACCAGCACACAGTTGTGCTACCAGCTGCTCTAAGAGTCTGGTGGCAGCCCTATGGAAAAGGCGATTTCCCCCTGCCCTCTACATCCCATCAAGCCCTGCAATCCTGGATTAACATCTGTGCTCTCCGGCAGCTGCTTTGGTTCAGGTCAGACGTGTTACTGCCCTGTAGCTCGCTCCCTGAGTGCCTAATGGCAGGTAGCATTTTCAGAGCAGGGCTTTGTTACCATGACCCAGTGCTTGGGCACCCAAGCACAGCTCAACCTCATTGTGGCTGGAAGCTGTCCCTGGCTGCTGGGGAGGCAGCTGGTCCCCAGCTGAGCACGTGGGCAGACAGCAGGTCACACATGATTTCTCATCCGCAGCAAAACCGATGCAAACAAAGCAATCCTGAGAGATGCCCAGGTCCCACTTAGCTTGAGTGCTAAACTGCCACCCCAGCACGGCTTGCCGGAACAAATCCAGCAATCCCAGCCTGCAGCTGATGGAGGAAAATTACAGGTTTCTGGCACCTGCTCTTCCCTCAGCTTCAGCCCCAGGCAGACACAGTCTCCCTCTCCATGCTGCTGGCCTCTGCCACCTCGGCTTGCCTGCTGCCCAGCAGCATCTCTGGGACAAGATGCAGCACCCGGATCAGGTTTGGGAGCACCGTAGTGATGGGTAAAGAATTAAAGCCAGCCCCAGGGACTAAGCAAGCCTCACACCTAGGACCTAAGAGTGAGAAGGGGAGAAAGGAGCACCACAGTTTCAGCTGGCCCATGTCCCGTCTCAGACCAGTTGCTGGTAGCACAGCTTGCCAAAGACTTAGGAAATCCCTTGCCTCATCCCTTGCCAGAATTACAGCTGGCAGATCTACCAGGGTGATGCTACTGGGCCTGCAGGAGGGCACAGAGGAAGCAGGTGACATCAGGCACAGCTACATTTCCATCAGCAGAAGACAGCATGAGCTGTAGTGCTTCAGCACCAGGACTGAGGCTTCCAGAAAGACACAGCAGAGCATCCAGCCACAGCAAGGAGAAGATGGGGATGTACTGCAGCTCCTGGGTGAGAAAACAAGAGCCAGACAAATACCCGCTGCACTGCAGGACACCTTTAATGATGCAAGAGCTGGCACTGCAACAGCCACAGCTTCCCGCACACTGTGATGCCCTGAGGATTGGTCCTGCTTCTGGCAGCATGCTCCTCAAGCCTTTTCCCCTGGCACAGGCACTTGGTCATGGGCAAGGACAGCGTTGCAGCGGGTGTTCGCTGGCCCCTCAAGGTATCGCTCCGTGTTTCCGTCCCACCTCGGTGAAGGCTTCCACACAGCGGTCGATATCCTCATCGCTGTGTACAGCCGAGATCTGGACCCGGATACGGGCCTTTCCCTTGGGGACCACAGGGTAGCTGAAGCCAATGACATAAATGCCTGAGGAGGAAATGCAGGGAGAGTTAGAACTGGCTTGCAGGGAGGGAGGCTGAGGTGGTATTGGGTGATAGAAGGGCTTTTGGATCACCCTTCCCCTCTCAACCATTTCTAGGCTTCAGAGTTTTCAGGTGGCATCTGCTCCCAAGCATGGAAATGAGGGTTAGGGCCAGTGGTGCGGATGGAGTCCAGCATAGCAGGACAATAGGGCTAATGTAACCCTCCCAACGGAGAGGAGGTGAAGTCAGCAACGTCTGGGGGAGACCAAGAGGACGTTTGCAGGTGGAGGCTAAAGAAATAACAGGTTTCATGCAGGAACATCGTCTGCAGGAGGGATGGTAGCACTACCACCGGCTGTCCTTTCCCTCAGGGCATGTGTCCGCATCTAGAGCTCCCTCTCTGGCTCACCTCTGTTCAGCATGTCCTCAGCCATCACTGCGGCCAGCCGAGCGTCCCCAAGCATGACAGGACAGATGGGGTGGTCTTTCCCTGAGATGGTGAAGCCAGCTGCCGTCATCTTACTTCTGAACCTGGTGAAGAGAACAAGAGGATGAGGCAAACCTCATCACCCCTACTTGGGGGACCACTGCCTCGCCTTCTCCTGGGAGCCCTGGCCACCGAGGGCTGGATGTGGTGCTGCTCCAAAGCGCATCTCCTATGCAGGGAAGGGATCCCTCTTTTTGGAGTGACCTCCAGCCATTTCCTGCTCAGCTCCACGGGACTGCAGCTGCTTGAGGGGCAGACTTATCCCAGCACACAGAGCATCCACACACCAGCACATCCTGTGCTTTCCCCCGAGCACCCCCTGGCCATGACTGGCAAACCACCTATGGCTGTCACTGAGGGGTGAATAAACACACATGCACAACACATTCCTAAGGAACCCCTCCCCTTGCTCCCACCCCAGTGTGCCCCCCTCACCGTTGCGTCTTGGCAGCCATGGACTGTGCAATGGCATTGCTCTCCATGAGCAGGTCCAGGGCCTTGGATGCACAGCCCACCACGGCTGGGGGCAGGCTGTTGGAGAAGAGGTATGGGCGGGAACGTTGTCGGAGCAAATCAATGAGGGGTTTGGGGCCAGTCGTGTACCCGCCTGCAGAGGGATGAAAGACAAATGGACAAGGAGCACCAGAGTAACCTGTCACCTACAGGAGGGATTTCAGTACAAAGCAGGCCTAAAAACATCACAGCTGGTGCCTTTTACTAATATTTTCCACCTTGATCCTATATGCAAGTGGACAAGGAAGGTGAAAGTAAAAGAAGCACATGGCAGGACCTCCCATGACCCTGCAGCAGGGTCCCAAACTGAGCCTCATGCCACCAGTAGAAAAGGACAACATGCGGTTGTGACTCTATCATTAGGCAGAGGAAAGAAACATCAGTGATGCTGTGGAGCTCTTTAGGGTATGGAGAACCTTGGTCAGGAAATGCCTTCACCTGCAGCTCCTCCAAGAGCTTTTCCCAGGGTGGAATTGATGATGGTGACTTTGTCCATCACTCCCAGGAGCTCATCGGTACCCCTGTAGTAGAAGGAACATCACATTCTCATCTGTGCTAGCACGCAACAGGGAAGCTGCTCTACACCTGAGGGATGCTTCGAGGGAAACAAAGTGCCACCAGCCAGGTCTCTGCTAAAGGAATGACACCCCCATGTGGTAGTTCAACCTAGGTGTTCACCTTCTCTTCTCCTCCAGAAAGGCTAAGCTAGAATCTCCCGAGATAAGAGCATGGGGTTTTCATCCCTTACAGACAGGAGAACACTCAAACTTCCCACACAGATGTTTAATAGTCCAAACAGAGCACTAACAATGCAAGCATGTGAAGCATCTCTTCTTGGCAAACACCTGCAGCCAAGTGCACTGCTTGTCACTTGCAGGATCTCCAGGGGATGGAAGGAAAACCTGCCCTGAGGGAATTAATCAATCTCTACAAGCTATCTCCACAAAGGCCCCAAGACCCAAGCATTTGAAAGTGGTATCTTAGAGGTGGTTTTGGAAATCAGGAAGTCCAACTGTCTCCCGTATGGAAGCAGATGAGATGGTCACACCATCCCTTACACACTGATAAGCAGCCGTCATGTTGGGATGGGTCATTGCTAAGGTATCTACCTTCAGGTGCCCCGAAGGTGGGGTGCAAAACCTTCAAGCAGTGGTGACCCCCTCACAAAAATATGTTGGTTATCAATACCCTTGGCCTTGCTTCAGAGGCTACTGGGGTCAGTGGGAAGAAACACGGTTGAAACGGCCACTTACCGGCCATTGGGTCCCAGGAAGCCTGTGGCATGGCATTCGTCAATGAAGACCAGGGCATCATACTTCTGGGCCAGCTGGCAGATCTCCCTCAGGGGTGCAATGTCACCATCCATGGAGAAAGCACCATCAGTGGCCACCAGCCGCAGACGATGTTTCTATGGGAGGAAGAGTGGTGCCTCCAGGGGTGAAGATGTCACCCTGAGGAGAGGGGCTGGCGAGGAAGACTGGGACATAGTCCAACTCCTGTAGGGCATGGATGTATCTAACTGAGAGAGGGGGGTCTGCATTGCAACCAGCTGCTTACCCTCCTTGCCCATCCATGCCTACCTGTGCCTGTCGACAAAACCGATGCCTACTGCATGGGAAAAGGTAGAGCTCACCCTTTGGGGCTGGTTATTGTAGCACAGCTAAGCTCACACTGGGGTGGGAGCAGACCTCCGTACCTGTGCATCCTGCAGCTTGGCCTCCAGGTCCTGCATGTCCATGTGCTTGTAGCGGTACTTGTTAGCCTTGCACAGGCGGATCCCGTCAATGATGGAGGCATGGTTCAGCTCATCTGACAGCACTGCATCCTCTGGGGTCAGCAGGGCCTGGTCATGCCAAACAGAAAGGATCATCCTTTGCTCCAGGGCACCACCTCACCAAGATCTGCCAGCCTCTCTCAGGGCAGAGGACAAGGCTGTGTCTGACTGCAGCTCCCACGTCTCTCCTGGCACCGCTTAACTTTCCACTTACCTTCCCAGCCACTTTATCCCCTTATTTCCTTACGCCAGGCTCTTCCCTGTGGCTTCTGAGCTCAAAACCTCCCTCACCTTTCCTAGGAAGCCTGGGGGATCACGTCTTTTCCCTGCCTATCCTTCAAAGGGGAATACAGACCTCCCACAGAATGGGAGCCCTCCCCAAAAGCTGGAGCCTGTCTTGAGAAGGGGGAGGTGAGGCTGATTAAACACCTCCACGTGGCTTCCCCAGTCCAAGGGTGCCAAGCTGGGGTTCTCCACCACCAGTCACTGCCATCTTTTCTGTGGCACAGAGCTCACATCATAGCCTCTGGGAGGCACGGCAGGCCCATTGCCATCACCTCCCTCCCGCATGCACAACACAATGAAAGCCCTACAAACCTCAAAGATGCCAGCGTTGGCATCAAAGCAGCTGGGATAGAGAATGGCATCTTCCCGCTGGTGGAAACGTGCAAGCTTCTCCTCCAGGTCCTTGTGTATGCTCTAAAGAGATGAGAGGAGCAAGCGTCACTGGCGGGGCAGCACAAGTCCTCGCTTGCCCACAGCCGTTAGATGCTGACTGACTGCAAGGGGAAGAAACAGACAGGTTTTATCCAGAAAAGGTGTGCGTGCATGGCAGAAATTAGTTGCGATCAGCATGTGTTTGCAAACACAGGCCTAAAATGCGGTTATGGGTTTGGACACCACAAGCACAGCAGAGACTCCAAACTCCCCACCCATGGGGGGAATTTTCTTTGGTGGGGATAACCCAGGCTGGGTTTGATAGAGGCAATTCAAGTCAGGCTGGCTGCAATTCTGACCCTTAAGGGAGGGGAAAATATACCGATTTTTCTGAATGTCTTTCAAACTTAGGGGAGATTTAGATTAGATGAAAGGAACAAATACTTCCCTGTGAGGTTGGTGAGGCCCTGGCACAGGCTGCCCAGAGAAGCTGTGGCTGCCACGTCCCTGGCAGTGTTCAAGGCCAGGTTGGACAGGGCTTGAAGCAACCTGCTCTAGTGGAAGGTGTCCCTGCCCATGGATGAGCTTTAAGGTCCCTTCCAACTCAAACCAGTCTTGGATTCTACGGTTCTATGAATTCAGAGGGGTGTTTGGTTCCATAGTTCTCTGAGGGGTTGTAATGTTTTAAGTTGGCACATTTCCATATGTTCAGCTGATGCGGACACAGCAAGCTCTTTTCCACCTGGCCACGTGTAATTTAGCACTGCACATACACGTGAGTACTGAGGGGGGAGTCTGAGAATGGCTACCTTAGAGAAGGGGATGCTGCCCTGTACCTGCGTCCCACAGATGAAGCGGACAGAGCTGAGCCCAGCGCCGAACTTCTCCAGGGCCTCCACTGCAGCGCGGATCACCTCGGGGTGGCTGGAGAGCCCCAGGTAGTTATTGGCACAGAAGTTGAGGATCCCTGCGGGGAAGAGAAAGAGAGAAGCACTGAGCGGGGGCGAACGGGGACAGAAGCCGATGACACCGACCGCCTGCCCCATACGCACCGGCTCCTCCGCCCGCCAAGCGGAGGTGGGGGCCTTGTCGGGAAGCGATGACCCTCTCGCTCTTCCAAGTGCCGGCGCCTCGGATGTCCTCCAGCTCGTTCTCCAGCAGCCGGCGGAGCTGAGCCGAAGCCGCTCCCGATGCGGACCGGGGGGTCCCGGCCACGCCGCCCCGCAGCACCCGCACCGCCGCACAGCGCCACATCTCGATGCCCCGCCCCTCCTCGCCGGCAGGGGGAGGCGTGGCCCCGGCGGCCAAGCCATTGGCCGCCGGGGCCACGCCTCCCCCTGCCGGCGAGGAGGGGCGGGGCTAGGGGGTTGCTTGGCTCCGCCCCCCGCGCCCCTCGCGCTTAGAGGCGCCGTCGCCCGGAGGTGTTGATGCAAGGGGATCCGAACAGGGTGGATGGATGGGCTGTGGTCAGTGGTATGAGGTTCAACAAGGCTCAGTGCCGGGTTCTGCACTTGGGCCACAACACCCCCATGCAGTGCTCCAGGCTCGGGGAAGAGTGGCTGGAAAGCTGCTCATGGAAAAGGACTTGGGGTGCTGATTGATGGAGCTCAACAGGAGCAGTTTGTGCCCAAGCAGCCAAGAAGAGCAACAGCATCCTGGCCTGTATCAGCAATAGTGTGGCAGCAGGGCCAGGGCAGTGATCAGCCCCCTGTGTTGGACACTGGTGAGGCTGCACCTCAAACACTGTGCTCAGTTCTGGGCCACTCACTACAAGAGAGACATTGAGGTGCTGGAGCAGGTCCAGAATGGAGCTGTGAAGGGTCTGGAGCACAAGTGTGATGGGGAACAGCTGAGGGACCTGGGGGGGTTTAGTCTGGAGAAGGCTCAGGGGGAGCTTATTGCTCTCTACAACTGCCTGAAAGGAGGATGGAGAGAGGTGGGGTCGGTCTCTTCTCCCAAGTAACAAGCAATGGGACAAGAGGAACTGGCCTCAAGCTGCTCAAGGGCAGGTTTAGACTGGATATTAGGAACAATTTCTTCACAGAGAAGGTGCTCAGGCACCGGAACAGGCTGCCCAGGGCAGCAGTGGAATCACCACCCCTGGAAGTGTTCAAAAGCCGTGTAGATGAGGCCCTCAGTGACATGGTTTAGTGGTGGCCTTGGCAGTGCTGGGGAATGGTTGGACTTGATGAGCTTAAAGGTCTTTTCCAACCTGGTTGGTTCTGTGATTCTGTGTTGGGGTTGTTCAGCCTGGAGGAGACTCCAGGGAGACCTTGTTGTGGTCTTTTAGTTCTTAAAAGGGGTCTACAGGAAAGTAGGGGAGAGACTTTTTAGCAGGGCCTGTTGCAATAGGACAAAGGGTGATGATTTTAAACTAAAAAGGGGGAGATTCAGGCTGGATGTGAGGAAAAAATTCTTTACACTGAGGGTGGTGAAACACTGGCACAGGGTGCCCAGAGAGGTGGCAGGTGCTCCATTTGTGGAGACATTCAAGGCCAGGCTGGATGTGGCTCTGGGCAATCTGGTCTAGTTGAAGATGTCCCTGGATTAGATGAGCTTTGAAGGCCCCTTACGACTCAAACTATTCTATGGTACTATAATTCTATGTACTATGTCCCAGAGGATTTTGGAGCAACAGGCCATGCTGGATCTTGAAGGTCAACAAGCCCAGGAGCATTAGGTGCTCCCACCTGAGGGATTTGGGGTGCTCAGCACAGGTGACTTGGATCCTCACTTCTAGGTGTTGTATGGGTGTCCACCATAGAGGGTAATGAACCAAAGGGTCTGTAGGATGTGGGTGCATTCAGCTGAGGTGACCAAGGACCTACCATCTGAAGGAGATTTAGTGCCTGAGCCTAAGGGATTTGAGCACCTTTAGTCAAAGTGGTTTGTGACCCACAAGTCCACTGGGTTTAGACACACAGAGTCCAGACAGATCAGGCATCTCCATCCTCCACTATTGCTGACTGGGGAATCCTGAGGCCAGGGTGGTGTAGGTCTGTCATGTCCAGGAGGATTAGGCACCAGGCTCTTGAAAAGAGCGTAGGGTCTTCAGCCTAGGTAGGCTGGTTTGGTCCGAGGATCTCAGGAACAAGATCCCAAAGGGATTAGATGCCTCCTGGCCAAGGATTTCAATACCATGAACTACAAAATTTGGGATCTTTGATGGCTAAAATGCTCAGGCACCGTCTGCCCAAGTGATTTAGGATCGTCAGGCCAAAGGGTCTTTGAGTGTGAAGATGCTGGGCACATGAGATTTAGGCACAGCAAGCCCAAGGGGACCGGGCACCCACAGCACGGAGGATTTTGGAGCTCCTGATGTCTGTAGCCAAGGGGGATCAGGCACCTCCTGCCTGAGGCTCAGACCCTGCTATCAGGAGCATCCAGCCCTGCCTGGGGAAAGGCTCTCTGTGGGGCCAGGCAGGCCCTGGAGTTGCGCCAGCCCCCCTGGGCAGAAAGCCAGAGCCCCGGGGTGATAGCGGGGCCATGTCCAGCAGACCTGCCTCACCCTGCCCGCCCCAGCCTGCCTGCAGAATTGCTCACTGCCATGCTCGGGCCCATTCCTCCCCATAGATCATCCCCTTCCCACTTGCTGGACACCTCCAGCTCCTTGAAAACAAATGTGGACAGCCCCTGGCCCCGCTCCAGCTCCCCCATCCCATCCCTGCCACCACCACCCAGATGAGGCAGGCAGCCCCATCACCCTAGTGGTTATCTCCAGCACCCAGCACCATCTCCAGACCTCACACACAGCACCCTCACCTCAGACCCATGGCGGGGACCCGGGGAAGTGGAATAAACCCCTTTTCCTCCTCTGGGGAAGACCGTGGCTGCATGTTCCCATTACCCCTCCAACACAGGCAGGCTTTGCGTGGCGCCAGCAAACACACAAGCCCCAAGGAGCTGGGGCAGGATCAGTAACTGCAACCCTGTGCGGCCTCGACAGACACACTGAATCACCAGCACTCAAACACCCAACAAGCAGCCCAGCAGTACCAAAAAAACCAAACAAGACACACAAGAAATTTCTGAGAATTGGAAATAAAAACCCAGACCAGTAACTCTTACAAATGGGAACTCTCCGTAGCAAAGGTGTTCCTTTTTCCTTTCATTAACTGCCTTGTTTTAGCTATTGCCACACAAGAATCGATCAATTCTTTATAAAATGTGGTAAAAATGGGTAAAAATAAAGGCAAATGTTATTTACAGAAACCAACAGGGAGAGTACCGAAACGCCTCTTGGCTTCTTATTTCTTCTTGGGTGATTTCCGGGCGCTGGACTTGGCCTTGGGTTTTGACCGCTTTGCCTTCTTGGGCCTGGACACCTTCCGTGACTTGGCTCTAACAGTCTTTGGCCTCTTGGCTTTCTTCGGGCTGGTCCTCGACTTCTTCCTGGCTCTTTTGGCGGCAGACTTGGGCTTCTTTGCCGGAGACTTGCTTCTCCTGCGCCGAGCCGCTTTCCGGGGCGACGTGGATCTCCTGGCCGCCTTCTTCCTCTTCCTAGACGGGGACCTCTTCGCCTTGTTGCCCTTGGCCAGGCGGAAAGAGCCGGAGGCGCCAACGCCTTTGGTCTGCTTGAGGACACCGGTGGTGACGAGGCGTCGGATGGCGAGCCTGATCTGGGCATCGGCGTTCTGGCCCACCTTGTAGTGGCTCTTCACGTACTTCTGGATGGACTGCCGGGACGACCCGCCGCGGCTCTTCTCGGCGCGGATGGCTGCCGCGATCATGTCCGAGTATGTCGGATGAGCCGCCGGCCGCCGCGCCGCCCTGGCCCGTTTGGGCTTGGGGGTCGGAGCCGGGAGCGGGATGGGGCTGTCCGACATGGTCAGCGCTTCGCGATGCTCGGCGATGCCCTGCTCGGCGGGAAGGCTCGTCCTGTCCCGCCCTGCCGGCGCCCCCGCCCCTGGGCGGGGATTGGCTGGCGGAGGAGCGGTGGGTGAGGACCGCAGCAGAGCCCGGTGCCGCTCCCGGTGCTGCCGCCGCCGCCTCTGCGGCCGCGCACGGTCCGGTCACCCTTTTAAAGGCGCGGTGCGGACCGCGGGGAGGACTGCCCCCCGCGCGCGCACCCCGCGCGACCTGCCCGCCCACCCCCGCCACCCGTGTCCCCGGGTGTCCCCGACCCGAGCCGGCGGGACGGGACAGGGATGGGGAGGGACACTGGGGGACACGGGGGATGCTGCGGGACAAAGAAGAGCATCTCGGGGGACACTGAGTGGGGACAAGGGAAAGCACTTGGAGGGACACTGCGTAGCAACAAGGAAGAGTGTTTGGGGGGACACTAGGTAGGGACAAGGAATAGCATCTGGGGGAACAGATGGGGACAAGGAGGGACACTGGGGGACAAGGGCAAACAGTTGGGGGGACACTAGGTGAGGACAAGGGACACTGGGGAACAAGGAAGAACACTTGGGGGACAGTGGGTAGGGACAAGGAGGGACAATGGGGGGCGCTTGGGGACACTGGAAAGATAAGGAGGGACACAGCAGGGACACTTGGGGCAACATCAAGACATGTTGAGGGAAACTTAAAGGGGATGCTGAGGGTCAGGGAGGGACATTTGGGGAGGACAGAAGGAGCAACACAAGGAGAAACATCAGAGACCAAGGAGAGATGTTGGGGAGGGCATCAGGCGACAAGGAGGGACTCTAGAGGGGACACCAAGGAGAAAAGGGGGAGCACTGGGCTCAAAATAGGCTCAGCAGCAGTACCCCGCTGCCCAGTACCTCTGCCCTCTTTATTCCCCACCGGGTGCCTTGGGGACACCAGCTCAGCCCTCGCATGTCAGGGGTCCCAAACAACAGGTTGTCCCTTTCTGGGCAGGACAAGCACAACTCCTCACGAGGGGACAGATGCCAGCGACAGTCAGGCATCCTTACCCATCTGCCCAAGTGATCGGCTGTTCCTGGGAGATTAAATGTAGCCGCTATCAGCATCTTGCCTGTAGGATTTGGATCATGTTTTCCCCATGTTTCTTAAAAACATGCGGGTGCAGCCACCTTGTGCCCACCAACACACTGCATGGTGCTTGGGGTGAACCCCACCACCTCCAAACTTCCCCCTGCTTCAACAGCGGGGTAAAATACACAACAAGCACCTGCCTGTAGCTTCGGTGCGCCCTGCATGCCCCAGGGAATGGCAACCACTGGCCAGGGACACACAGAAACACACATAGAAATAGACACAGATGTATAAAGACAAACAAACGTAAATGTAGAAACATAAATAGGGTGGTGAGGCTCTGGCACAGGGTGTCCAGAGGAGCTGTGGCTGCCCCATCCCTGGCAGTGTTCAAGGCCAGGTTGGACGGGGCTTGGAGCAACCTGCTCTAGTGGAAGGTGTCCCTGTCCATGGCAGGGGGTTGGAACTGGGTGAGCTTTAAGTTCCTTAAGTGTGTGATTCTGTGATACTAAATAGAAGTAATAGAAATAGTGGAAGTAGGAATACTAGGAAATAGAAATAATTTGATGCACTCTCCCTAACACACAGAGGTGCTATGGGAGGGTGCAGCATGCCCCTGTCCCAGAAGGAGGCACTAGGCCCCCTGATGCTGTCCCACCGGTGGAAGGGCTGTGAGGGCATCCCCTTGTGCTTCCCTCCCTGGTGCTGCTCTTTCATGTGTCCCTCTTCATTTGGAGAGTAGGAAAGGTTCCCAGCACCTGCAAACTACTTGATTTTATTAAGAGCAAAGAGCTTCTAATTGCAGGGAGGAATAACTGCCTTCCCACCCCCCTTGGGTTGTTTTTTCATGCTTAAAACATAACCAATACATCACTTTGCACCCCACATAGGCACAAGCTCTGTTGGCCTCTATACAACGCTTTGACCGCCTGAAGGACCTCTCGTTTTTCCTAGCCGGGAATAAACGGCCATGGCTGGCTGCCTGCACATAGGCAAACCAGGAGCACGCAGATAAGGCACCATCTGCTTTTAGTTGCATCCAAGTTTTCAACCGTCACAAGACGGGCTCTGAGGGTAGACAAGGAGGGGGGGGTAACATCATCCCAGAGCCCCTGGGGTTGGCACAGTGCCACAGGCTGACCACAGAGCCTCCAGCCTTCAATGCCGTTATCAGGGCAGCACAGTGATGGGGAGGCAAAAGGGGGGGCAGGGAGGGAGGAGGGCATGTGCTTTACCTAACATTAGACAGCTGAAAATTAGGGGTCTAATCTCAGCCCATCACCTGGGCACCTCCTGCAGTCCAACAGGGCTGCTCAGCATCCTCCAGTGGGTGCTGCTGCCGGCGGGCAAACACCCTCTCCTCTGTACATGGGGGAGATACAACCTTTCCATCCTTTTCACCCAGACCCTTCCCAACACGTCCATCCCTAGTATTTGCCCAGTCAAAATAGGGGAAAAGTCCCTTCCATCCCTTTCACCCAGACCCTTCCCAACACTTCCATCCCTAGTATTTGCCCAGTTAAAATAGGGGGAAAGTCCCTTCCATCCCTTTCATCCAGACCCTTTCCAACACTTCCATCCCTACTATTTGCCCAGTCAAAATAGGGGGAAAATCCCTTTCACCCCTTTTATCCAGACCCTTTCCAAAGCTTCCATCCCTAATTTTTGCCCAGTGGAACATCCCATGCCACCCAGGAACTTGGAGGGAAGGTGCACATTGGTCACAGCTCATTAGACTGCTGCTGGCCTTGTACATGAGGGGAACCCACTTGGTATTGGAAAGCACCCTTGGAACCCTGCTCTGTTTTACTGATGCATCCTTAACATGAGCTGGGCAGGACCCAGAGAGGTTTTCTGGCTCCTCGTGGGGTGCCGGGGCTGGAGATGGGATGCAGGTGCTGCAGGGCAATGGTACCTCTGGGAAGTGGGGCCAAGGCAGCATGGAGGGGGCTCATCTCGAAGGGAACACTATTCCCACAGGGCACCCATACTGCCATGCCTGGCTTGGGCTTGTGCCTTCATTTTTGGCCACAGGAGCCAGCCACCATGCACGGGGTGGGGTGCATTACCCCCTGAATCCCCTTTTCTCCTTGAGGAGAGATACCTAACAGCTCCAAGCCTCCTGTACCTCCTGTTCCTGGCATTAGCTAGCAGGGATTGGGAAATCCTGCTTCTCTGACAAACTCCAGAGGATAGAGCCCAGATGAACCCTCTCTATAATCCCATTCACTTTCTCCCTCCCCACACTGTGTTCAGCCAGACCCCATGGGGATTTACGCACTTCCAGCTGTGGATTTCATCTTAAATGGTCAAACCATGTGTACCGTGGATGTGCTACGGATCCCCTTGTAGGGGCAGGACAGCTGTTCATTGGCATTTGAGTGCACTGGGGCACTTCTGATGTTTGATTTTACCTGCTTTCTGTTTCCAAAGAGGCTCGAAATCCCCAGCACTAGGACTTAGCCTTGCTGACACTCAGGTTCCAGCTTCAGTGCTTTGTTTAGTGGCAAAACAGGGGACTTTGCTGATTTTCCAGTGTGCTCACCAGAGCTTCAGCCCTGAGCCCCCAGTATGCAATGCAGTGTGGTCAGCCCAGCATGAAACCACTCAGCCCCGACACCATTAATAGCAGAGCTGGCTTTAACCATGGCCAGGTTAGACAGAGCCTTTGGGTGACACAGTCTAGTGTGAGGCATCCCTGCCCATGGGGAATGGAACTGGATGATCTTAAGGTCCTTTCCAGCCCAAACCATTCTATGATTCTATATGAACGAACAGGGAAGGGGTATTGCCTCTGGCTACTGGACCGATCACCACTGTTTCAAATGATTTATGAGCTGTCCTAAAAGGCAAGCTCCTTACGTGAGCAGGGATGCTGGCTCTCATGCAAACCAGGGTGCTGTAGAGCTGTGAGGGTCCCCTTTGCCAGAGGGACATTTCTCACATCCACAACATGGCTGTGAGCAGGTCGATGGGGTGGAGGCATCACTTGGGATGCTTTCCTGGGCACTGCTGTCCATCGCATGGGCATTGCAGCCATCTCCCTCCCTGCCACACTCCCCACACCCAGTTCCCCTGCACCCAGCAGATAACAACGGGGTGACCGTATCGCCCCGACACAGGCGCGGCCTGGGCTGCCCGATTAGCCCCGCGCCGGTTTGGGAGGTGTCGGTGCACCATCACCCCGGGATGGCGGGATGCTCCTAGCCGGCTGGTGCTGATCTGCTCATCTCAGACACATATCAGTCGGGTGCCTGCACATTTCGCCTGTGCTGACGTGACACATTTATCGGGGTCAGCAGCCCCTGCTCAGGAAGGGTAAACCCCCCCCCCAACAAACACCACCCAAACAAACCAACCCAAACAAACACAAGATAGGGAAGCGTTCGGGGAAGGAGACGGTGAGCAGCGTGCCGAGAACTGCGCACAGCAGCAGCAGTCTGCATTCACCCCACGCTCACCTCCAGTGCCCCATTTTTGGGGGTTCCCCCCCCCCCCAAGGAGCAGGTTTGACCATGCAGACTGTAGTGTCAGTGTTTGTTTGTTCTAAAACCGATGCACACACACGCCAACCTGTAACCCTGTGCCCCATACCTCACTTCATTTTCTTCTTGTTCCCTACTAAACCCCCATGGTGAGACCAAGCCCTGCAGCCTGGAAGCACTTGCCCTGAGCTGCTCTATCACTTCACGCCTCCCTTCCCATCTCAGCTCCCAGTGTACTGAATGCTCACACCATCCCATGGCAACAGCCATGTCCTGCTGGGGGGCAGAGGGAAAAGCCTGGACCTTGGGCAGCATTAAGGGCAGGCAGGTTTCCAGGCAGGAGGCCAAGCACCAGCAAGAGCAAGCTCTGGGTCTGCATGGGTGCAATGGGGAGCTGCCTGCTGAGCTCGGTGCCTCACCTCTTGCACCATCCACCGGGTTGCTCAAGGGCCTCATGCATGTGACTAAAGCCTGCAACCCAGTTTTACCGGAATTCGTGAGGTATGAAGCAGCTTGCCTTATGTAGGGAAAGCAGTCACTGCAGCCATGCCCATGGAGAAGTGGGTCTGTATCTGCCCGCACCCCCTGCCCCAGGGGCACCGGTGCATGGTGAGGTTATCACACACTGCTGCCCTAACTCTCCTCATTGCGCTGCCACCGGTGTCCTTACACCCTGCTCTCCTCCTCACGTCTCATAGTACTCCAGCCTTCCTGATGATGTATCCAACACATCCAAGGGTCCTCCTTGAGCATCTTCACTTCTTCAGATGTCACCTCCAGCCATGGCATGAACCTGCAGTTACGGTTCTTCTGTAATTGCCAACAGCCTCTGTGCAGAGCAACACCTCACGTTTACATTGGAATTGGGCTGAATGAGGAGCAGTAACCCCCAGGTCCTCCACCCTGACAAAAAAGCAATGTGCTTCACCCAAAAATGTGAAGAGGAAAGCACCCGAGATCCCTCTGATCTCCCCCAGGATCTATACATACTGCTTACCCTGCCTGTAGCTTGCAGTGCCATATGCCCTCCCCATTACTGCATTTACTGATGCAGCCCAGACTCCTTGGGGCAGAGGGTCCAAGTGGGATTCTTGTAGCAGTGTGGTGAATCAGATTATTTCCCCCCAAATCCAGAGGTGAAGCAAACAGCTGGATAACTGCAGGACTCTCCCTCCCCACATCCAGAGGCAGGGAAGCGACAGGTCCGGATGTCCCAAAACCACACGGGGACCTGGAGAAATGACCCAGCACCACCAGCACGGGGGTCAGGGCTGCTTGGGAAGCCTTCCCCTGCAGAACACATTCTTCTCAGCGAAAGGGGAAGATTTTATTAAGTTAAAAGTTGAAGGGCGCAGCAGAGCAGCAGCAACTGCCACCTTGACGGGGGGTTGGCTCTGGTGGGTGCAGTACCAGCCTCACAGCTCCTCTTCCCCACAGAGGAGAAGCCCCGTGTCTCCGGGCTCCAGCCAGCTTGTGTCCTCGAAGGAGCCAGTGACAGTCACGGAGAGAGCTCGATCATTCGGACTCTTGCCAAGGTCTCCTCTTTCCAACGTCCCCGGCAAGCACATCCACGGCAGACTGCCCCAGAGGCTCCCTCCTATGGCTTGCAGGTCTTCTCCAAAGGTCCCTGGGGTGGCACAGGGGGGGAGTGTGGTCCTCGCCATGCATCCCCTGGGGGCCGTGGAGACATTCGGAAGAGAGGGAGCATGTGCCAAAGGTGGCTGTGTAGGGCTGGGGAAGGGGTGACAACCAGATTCTCTTTTTCAGGTTAGAAAATGCTGGTGATGTAGTAAAAGTTTTCCCCCCTCCTCTTCCCCTTCTTCCCGGGAGGAAAAATCCTCTATAAAATATAACTTTCACATATAAAATCCTGAAGAAGGTGCATGTAAGGAGCCAGTCCAAACAACGTGCTCAGGTACGCAGGCAAAAGGGGTTCATCACAAAAGCTTTGGGAGGGGAGTGAGGAGGTTGGGGGTGTGTAGGATTCCTCGCCAAAGTGATAACGGATGGGATTCAACCTCCCCCTCCCTGCAAGTGAGGAATGGAGCAAATACAAAACAAGAACAGATAAACAAATGAAGAGCAGACCTGGAGAGAAAGAAAAGCAGAAATGGTTTAGAAAGGCTCCACTGAGCACAGAAACGCTGCCCCTTCTGCTCTGTCTGGTGCCCTGCTACAGACCCATTCATCTCAGCACCCACCAGCAAACAGAGCTGGGTGACCCAAATCCTGATAGCCACAGCACTGGAGCAAGAAGCACTGTGGACAACAGGATGTCCTCATTCTGTCACCCTGTTTCCCTTCATCCCTTCATTCATGCAGCAGAGATGCCTGCAGGTGAGCGTGGGAGAAGGGCTGGATCTAAGTCATGGCTGCTTTGATGCAGACCTCAAATTTCCATGCTGCGATACGGAAACCACTTCAAAGACAAAAGCAGCAGGCACATCGCCTATGTAGGCAGCACACAACCTTCCCCACGCTGTCACCCAAGCTACAGGGCAAAGGCCAGCATCTGGTTGGCTCCCACCTCCTACCACGTTGGTGCTGGCTGCAGGAGCATCAAGAGCAGCATGGTGAGAAGGAGGCTGGGGACCTTGGGAGAACATCAGGGACAACAGCAGGGATGGGACAAGAGGATGCAAGAAGCAGAGAAGATAATGTTTAAGCCTGAAGGCTGAGCACTGAGTAGGGTAGGAGGAACCAGCAGCTTCCATCCCCACCCCAGTGACTCGCACCCACAGGGGATGTCACCGCATCCCCATTGCTCACCGTTACTCGCCGACACTGTTGCGCAGCGACTCCTTCTCCTGCAGAGCCGCCATGGCCAGGCGCAAGTGCTCCTTCAGCTGCTCGATCTCTCGCTCTGAGCGCACCTTGATGTGATTCAGCTCTGCATAGACGTCTTGGTATTTCCCTGAGGCAAATCGCTTATCCTGACAGGGGACAGAGAGAGGGCAGCAGGTTTTAGGGCTGGTATTAGGGATGGGGGCAGCAAGGCAAGCCCAGCATGAGAAGGGCCAGCAGGTGAGGTGATGGGTTTGAAGCCCATCCCAACCTGGGCCACGCAGAAACCATTCAGAAGAAGAGCATGGAGATAGCACTTTCCAAACCCTGGGCCAGGGAGAAAGGCAGCTACTGGTCCCACAGGCTGAGATGATGTGGGTTTTAGTATGGCTTGTGGGTGTTTGGGCAAGCCATATGGGGAAAATAAACCCCACTAGAGATGCAGGCTGCTGAAAGGGCTGGTCGCAGCCACTTACATGGCAAAAAGCTGAAGTGGGAAAGTTATAAACTGCAAGAGCACCACTGAATCTCAAAGCCTCTTCCAGGTTCTGCTCTGGAAGGGGTCTTTGAAAATGCCTCTGAAGGAGCTGCTGCCAGTGGAGGGAGCAGCACACCCAGCAATGGTGCCCAAGGAAACTCATGGATCCAGCAAAGGGACAACTGGGGGAACACAAGTGTTGAGCAGCCTTCACCTGGGAAAGAAGGGATCCTGGCTTGTTCGTGCTTGTATGTACATACATCTGGGGAAACCAGCACTAAAGTCACAGTGACATTTCCCTTGTATAAGGTAAGTCACTACCAGCCTGCACTGTTGGGAGCACGTGGCTGCTATGTGCTCAAGAGCAAACAGGGACGAGGAGCACAGAGGATTTGGCCTGAGCACCCCATCAAACCCAGATAAATCCTACTAAGACGCAGTCCCGGTGCTCCCCTCTCCCCTGTTGCTTTCCCAATGGCTCCCTGAAAACACCAACCTTTTGCATCATCTGCAGCTCCTCCCGGAGGCACTGCACCTCCTTCTTTAGGTACTGGAGCTCATTCTCCTTCACCCGCAGCAGCACCTGTGTCAAGGAGAGGCGAGAAGAACCCGAGGTGACTCAAGAGCCAACGCCTCGGAAAGGCTCCGGGCAAGGGCAGCGGTGGAAAAGGAAGGAAGGGCCAGGAGGGCTGGGGCAGGAAACGGCGTGAGCAGCCCCAGAGAGCAGAGGATGGGAAGCTTGCGTACCTGCTTCCTGCACTGGCCCCTGCTCCATCCGGCAACCCCCTCCCACCTGCTTCAAGCCAAAACCACTGCAAGGAGGAGACCCTTGGCATAGGGTGGGGATGGAGGTATCGGGGCAGGCGGGGGGGCTCTGTACCTCCAGCTCGCAGGAGCTCCGCTCGTTGTTGTTCGGAGAGCGGTCCCCAGAGTTCCGCGAGGAAATGAAGCTTCGCAGCTTCCCGATCTCATCTGAGAGCCGGGTCTGCAGCTCCTGCAGGCACAACCAAGAGACATCAGTGGCACAGGCCTCTCTGCTGTCCTCATCCTTCCTTACCATACCACCCCTACTCGAGCTTGGAGATGTCCTTGTAACCCCCTGCCCACAGGTGATGGAGGCACCTTCAACCAGCAGAATCCACTCACTGTATTTAACACCACAGTTAAGGCCAACTATAGCCTCCAACTCTCAGTATTCTTTTTGCTTTCTGATGATAAAATCTCAGAAGGGAAGAAATGTGAACAAATTGGGGTGTTTTAGCAGAGGGGCCGTGCTGTGCAAGGGTCGCTGCGGGCAGGGAAGGTCTTTCTCTTGCCTGGTTTTTCCGGAGGAGCGCCTTCCCCTCCTGCTGACAGTGCTGCAGCGTCTGCTCCCGTTCCTCTGCCTTCTGCGTGAGCTCCCCGATTTCCAGGCACTTTTGGGAATACTGCTCAGAGAGCACCTGCAGCTCCCGCTTCAGGGATTCCACATCCAACCTGCCAAGGAGGCGCTGGTCCATCACTGCCCGTAACAACCCTCCCCAGCCACCAGCATCGCCTTCCCCCTGCTATGGGCAGCCTCTGCCCACATCAGTCATTGGCACAAGCTAAGGATCCCTGTGGAACAGTTCCCAACCTCCCATGCATAAGTGCAGTGCTTCTAGAAGAAATGGAGGAGCTTTCCATAAAGAAAATAGAGGGAATAAGCTGTAGGGAAAACAGAGGTGCTGTAGGGAAAATAGCCAAGCAGGGGATAAACCTCCCTGTCTTACAGCTCCAGAAGCCCTGGCAGTCACCGCTGGGCACCCACCATCCCTGCGGAGGGAGCTGGCGGCTATGGATGCAGATTGGGTGAGGTGACACTGGCACAGGGTGGCAGCATCAGCCAAGAGGAGTGGGGGAGATGGTTTCTTACTGGTGCTGCTTCTGGAGGGCATCTGAGACGGAGCTGCACTGCTGGAAGCTTCGCGTCCTGCACAGCTCCTTGTTCATCTCCTCCCGGTGGGCTTTCTTCAGTGCCTCAATGGCTGCAGAGGGGGACAACAGGAGATGGGGGTCAGGCTGTGCCAGCTCCAGCACATCCGAGGAAACCACAGCAGGGAGCTGGTTGAGCTCTTGCTGCCGCAGGCTCTCAGACCTGTCTTTGCAGATTCCCCTACCTTCCCTTCCGCCCTCAGGATCATCCCAATGCACCAAATGCTGCCAAGGAGACTAACACAGGGCAGCGTGGGAGCTCCATGCCACCTCCACATACCTACAAGAAGCTGTTGGCTCCTTCAACCCATCCACAGAGGCAAGACTCCATTTCCCAGGGGATCTTTACCATCCCATTGTCCCTGCCCCAGCCCAGACAATCCCCGCACACAGCACAGGGGCGAGGAGCCCCACGCTCATGATCCGAGGAGCATCGGCCTCACACCAGCAGGGTCATCCATGTGGCTCCAGACGACTGACAGTGGCAAGAGACATCTGGGAGCGGTGGGGGCACAGCTTAGCGTTTGCTCCTACCTGCTGCTGTTGCTGCTGCCTCCTCTGCCAGCAGCCGCTCCTTCTCCTGCCGCAGCCGCTCCAGCTCCCGCTGGTGGTGCCGCTGGAGCTCCTCCATCACTTGCTGGTGGGATGACTCCATTGCAGCCAGGCTGCGCTCACAGGCCTCCTGCCGAGCCAGGGAAAGGAGGGGTGAAGCACCAGAGGAAGGGATGGGGCCAGGAGAGGCACCTGGCTGGGCTGAGGTTTGCAGGGGGAGAAATGTTCCTCTTGCTCATAGCAGCAAGACAGGAGCAACCCTCCTGGGACAAGAGCTGGCAATAACATGCCTGACACACCAGTCACTGCCTGGCTGGAGGACATCAACAGTTGGAACTGCATCTCAGTATCTGCCTTTCAAATGAAGCAGCATCCCCCAGAATCAATGAAAATTGAGCCTCTTGTGAAAAGCGATACCCTGCACTGCCCTGTGGCTGGGCAGAGGCTGGCAAAGAGCCTTCACCAAAGCCTAATGGTTAGGGATCCTCCTCACACAGCTCAATCTCCTTTCTGACGGCCCTTGAGACCATGGGTGTCTCATGTTCTTTCAGTGCTGAGCACTGTGGTTACTGGTGTTAGCACAACAAAGTGGTTCCCACTTCAGAGCTGTGCCTCTGCTCTCCCTTCAGACTGGCAGCGCTGCCCCAAGCCCCACAGGAAGTGTTTGTTCACCACCAAACCATGCCAGAGTATTTTTAAAAGCCAGGGACTCTTAAGACATCAGCAGAGAGCCAGGAAGCCATCGTGTCCCCCAGCTGCCCCTTGCCATCCCATTCTTTCCCCCAGTACTAAGGCTAAGGCCGATATAACAGGCGCAGCGACACAGTGAGAGAACGCAAGTCCTTGCTGGCTACTCCTCCCTCCCAAGGCAAAGGAAGCTGGGAAGCTTCACATATCGGCCAAAGGAGAGGAAAAAGGCAAGGGATCAATCTGGTTATCAGTCCACAGCCGGGCTGCAAACCTCAGCAGACTAAGGGAGAACAAGCACTTTGCGGAAAGGCCAAGTTTGGCCTCAGATGTGAAAAGCGGGCCTTTTAAGCCAAGTTATTAAGGAGATAAGGTGCAATTCCTCCCCACTGCTTTTGCCCTTTTTTTCACCATAAAGAGGCCTGCAAGCTGTAAATACTAAATCAAGATGACAGAGCCACTGGCTCGTCACCATGGGCCCTGTGGCTTTCTTTATCTGGACTAGGTACAGCCAACGCACTCAACAGGCTTCGCCAGCCCCAATTTCCTTCCACCCCCCCAGTAGCTTTCAACACATAGGGCACATCCTGAAATGGCCACAGCACAGTGGAACGGCAGCCGCTCCCCAGGAAACCCTGCGGGATGTGACCCTGTTTGTTTTGGATGAGCCCACAGAGGGGGAAATAAACAAACAAAGGGAAACGAGAGGCTGAAGCATGAGTAAACTCCGCTTTGCAGGCTTTCCCACGTGCTGCCCCAGCAATCCAACAGGCTGTGCTGTCAAAGTGACCTTCAGGGCTTGGGTAAGGATGGGAGCTCCCTGGGGTCTGATGGGATGCTTTTAACAAGGGATTTGGGAGTCCCTGATACCCAGAACCACATGTGGGAAGCCGCAAACACGCAGGTGGCTTGGCAGAAAGCTGAGGAGCCACTCCTGTGCTGGAGGCAGCTCAGCCCCCCAGCCCAGGCTAGTATCTTACCCATGCACAATGCAGGGCGCAGATCACAGAATCACAGAATGGTTTGGGTGGAAAGGACTTAAGATCATCCAGTTCCAACCCCCCTTGCATGGGCAGGGACACCTCACACTGAACCATGCCACCCAAGGCTCTGTCCAGCCTGGCCTTGAACACCACCAGGGATGGAGCATACACCACTTCTTTGGGCAACCTGCTTCAGTGCTTCACCACCCTCACAGTAAAGAACTTATATCTAGATGCTGTAACTCCTCCCTAACTCTTCTCCTCCCTGTTCATACTGTCCCCTTTAAAGCCAGGCAATACACAGCAGCCTTTATGTAATTAACACTGATTACAAGTGGGCCCAGTTAGGGTCACCACGGCAACCCAATGATTAGCGATACCTGCTCAGCAATGAGCTGAGTGCCAGCGTTTCCCAGTTTGGGACTGGAAGCAACCCCAGGGTCCTGTGTCCAGTGCCCTGCTCACCTGTGAGATGTACCCCCGGGGCACATGGCCTTCTCCCTGGGATTTCGCTGCCTCCCGAAGGCTCTCATTCCGGGCCCGGCAGGATTCCAGCTGCGCTCGCAGTGACTGGATCTGTGCATCAGGGAGGGGAGAAAGATACTCAGCCACGGCCCAACCAACATGCTGCATCCGAACCCTTGGCTAAGGGATGGGGAGGACCATGCATGGCCAATGGAGAAGCCTGCTTCCCGCAGGAAGAACAGCCTGCTAAGGGACCAAACTGGGAAAGCCAGCCCCACCCTGGTAAGCACTAACAAAGAGGAGAGGAGACATCCCGAGTTCCAGAGGTGGATCTGTGCTGAAGGAAACCACCGCTACTCTCGTGTAGCTGGGATGCCAGACAAGTGCATGTCTCCTTTCAAAATGCTTGCAGGCTTGGGAACAGGCAGAGAAGAAAGGCTGCAGATGCACCCCCGGGAAAGACAGACTCCACACAAGCAGTGCCACCAACTAACTTCCTAGGCCAGAACATGGCTTGAGGAACCTCTACGGGCATGAAAGAACAGGTCTCCAGTCCCACATTATCCGGTTGCAAAATCCCCTATGCACTTGCAGGGTGGCAAATGGAGCCACAAAGAATAAACATCTCCCTGCACCTCTGCCTTGCCCTTCTGCAGAGCCTCCTGCTGACAGAGACCACAACAAGAGGCCCCAGGAATCCCAGTTTCAGAGAAGAGCGATGCTCTTACCTCCTTTTTCAGTGCCTCGTTGGTGTCTCCATGGCTCCCCTTGCCCTGGTTCAGCAGTGCTGTCAAGGGCACCCGCCGTGAGTCCTTCAAGGGCAGGCGTTCCAGCTCCAGCCACTTCTTCTCTATCTCCTCGTTCAGCCGGATTCGCTGGTCCTCCGAAAGTGGGGGAGTGGGGAGGTCCAGCTCCCCCACCTTGCAGGAAGAGTCTCCCCCTGACCCATCGCTGTTTGGGATCCTGACATCAGGGGCCTCAAACCATTTCCGCCTCTCCTCCGAACGGACAGCCAGATCCCGCTCCAGCTCCTCGTGCTTCGGAGCTCGGTCAGAGACCCTCAAGCTCCCTCTCGTCCTCTGTGGGGAGCCCTGATTCCCGGGGTCCTGCGGCAAGGGGGACAGCTCCACATAGTCAAAGGCATGGCGCTGCCCATCCGCCTTCCAGGGGCTGCCCTTTGAGTTCCCCTCGGAGCTAGAGCCCAGTCGCTGCTGTTCCTCCATCTGGAGCGAGCCCTTCTGGGGGACGCAGTTACGGAAGTTTTCCTTATCGCAGTCAGAGAGCCTGAAACCAGAGTGGCAGCCAGTGAAGGACAGGTACCACACGGGAAAGGATGCTGGTGGAGATCCTGCCAAACTCCCACCCAAACCCAGGGCATGGAGTTGGCCCTGTAGCATCCCATCCCTCAGGGAAACTGCAAAAGTGGGTGCAACAGCAGGAGCCATCAGTCTGATGCATCCAGGCCATGTTCAGTGGAGAGCAGGGTTGATCTGAGAGTGGCTGGGTTTCCAGAGGGACCTTCCTAGTCCCTGCCTGCCAGGGGAGAGGGGCAGCAAGAGGGGGGAGAGAAGCAGCATGGGGCAGCTCTTACTTGGTGACATCTGGAGCACTGACTGGGCGCACGTTCTTCCTCAGGGCCTCGATCCAGTTGCGCCGGATGCCTGAGGTCATGGCCGATAGGGTGAAGACGGCATCCTTTGTCTGCAAAAGAGAGACGATGGAGGCCCTGTCTGCAGCTAGCTGCCACTCACTCCCTGAGACCCCCAGGCACCCACTCTCACAGATGGTGGACTGCGTTTGACAGGCCACGCAAGTCTGGAAGGCTCAGGTGGAGGGGTACAGCAGCAGGCCACAGGGAAATGCCCAGCCCTGCACACCCACAGAAGTATCATTTTTGTGCTGCCTTAGCAGCCACCTCCTGCTGCTACAGCAAGTAGTCAAGGACAGGATTGTCCTGGGGCTGGATCCAGGGTACAGGTTGTTACTCTGAGTGCGGTCAGAGAGCTACTCCGAGATCTGCAGTGCTCACCACTCCCTCCCCACAGCTCCGGCCCCACAGAAGCTGCCTTGGCCAATGGGTCAAGTAAACAACACAGGGCGTTAAGTCTGGCTCCTGGGTCACCTCCAGGGGAGCCTTTGGCCAGCCCTGCAAAAGTCACCACCTCCTTCTCCTCCTCCCTTTGCAGGCAGGCAGCACTCGAGTCCCTGAGCACTGTTACCCCCGTTGCCAGGGTCCTGTCCTGGCAAAAGGTTTGCACGGTTTGCCTCTGGGCACAGGGAGGGAGCAAGCATTCCCTCCCACCCAGTGTCTCTTGGTGCCACTGCAACCACACAGTGCCAGACACTCACGTGTATCTGGAAGCCATAGTTGCGCTGCACCGCAAACTCTGTCACGTCTGTGCAGGAGCGGAGGTCGATTTCTCCATCGAGGTCATCAGCCTGCAAGCACAGCCACCGGCTGGGACATCAGTGCAAACCCAGCTTGGAAAACCCCATCACCTGCTGCCACCCTCTGCTTCACGCCACACCTCCCTGAGACATAGACTCAGCTCCCCACATACCGAGGGGCAGCCGCAGCTCTGATGGAGAGCATCAGAGATGCTCAGCCACAGGACCAGCCCTTCTCACCTCCCACCACCGACAGCTCCCGGTTTCACCAGCCGCCTTCAAATACCTATCCTCTTTGTTATCCCTTGGCAAAGAGCAGCTTGCCACCCCTGGTACCTTTCAGGGTGATATAACACTGCTGCTTCTCCAAGCTGTGATCCTGTCCCCGCTGGTTGGGAAGGAAGAGAGGGCTGGGGAAAAGCTGGCTGTGCTTACCTCCTCCGCGTTCGAGTCCCGGTAATACCTCAGGCTCGAGTCAGTCAGCACGAACCAATGTTTCTTCCACTGCAGGCGGATTGGGCAAGGGGACGGAAGGGAAAAGACAGGAGGAAAACGGACAGGTAGTTAGCAGGGGAAGTGTAGGAACAGGGAGGGACACTTTGTGCTGTGACCTCTCATCCTTCTCTTCCCCATCCTCCATGTCCCTTCCAGCTCCCCCTTGTGCCCCTCAGCTGGGAGATGAGCACTATGTGAACCTCTGTGCCTGCACACAGAGCAAAGCACTCCCACCGAAGGCTTCTTGCTGCCCTTCCCAGCAGGAGCAACCTCAGTGAGTGAAGGGGGAAGGAAATTAGCTGCTCACTGGGGAATCTCTACCAGCAGAAGCTAAGGAAGAGGCGGACTCCTGCCTTCTTGGCCTTACCTCTCCTGGCTCGTCCAGGATGGACATCCATCCCTTCTTGAAATTGAGGAGATCCGGCTGGAGAAGAAACACAGAAACACAGGGTAACTGTCTTGGACTGACCCACAAAAAGGCTTTTCATGCCAGGGGGTGGAAGGCAAGTCCTCAGTGGCAGATCAACTGTGGGAATAGCCTGGCATCACTTTTAGGAAACTCATGGGGGTGTAGGGCCCGGCAGTGGAGGAGAGCTGGGTTTAGGCAGTTGTTCCCATAAGAGGAAGCAGGAGATAAGGAAAGAGGTTTAAAAAAAATTAAAGGAAAATATGCAGCAGGGAGGTTTCCACAAGGTGCCCCAGAGGTATTTGTTCAGAGAGGGGGAGGCAGGGACAAGGAGAGTGGGCAGGAGGGAGGGCTCCACCTCCAGCAATGGGGCTTGCTGTGGAGATGGAGGCAAAGAACCAGCCACACCTTGTCCAAACCCGGACCATCCATGCCCCAGAGCCACATCCCTCCGGTAACTTCACCACCAATTGTCTATTATAAAGACAGGAGTAGTTCTCTACAGAACAACTCTCACCACATATGTACAGGACGTAATTCAACAGCTGTGAAAACACGTTCCCTTTAAACGATGTGCCCCAGGGTAGAGATGAAATCAGAGTCACAGCCAGCACCTGATCCTCTCCGAGGTGCTGGGGGTTCCTCTCTTACCTAGCTCTTTCTTCTTTCCCACTGCATAGCCTGCCCTCTGCCACAGCTACTCAAGATGAGAATGAACAGAGTATCACCCCATGCTAGAAAGAAGCTTCCCCCCCTTCCCTGCCTCCTCCTAACCTCACGCCATCGGTGCGGCATCCCAACCAGTTTATCTCCTTCCCAAGGTGGAGCACCAGAGAGCTGACTCAGGGGAACTGCTCTCCCTGGCTTTGCCCTCAGCCAAACAGGCTGGAGCCGGTCCCTCCTCCCAACCCTGCTGGCTCCGGAGAAGTTGCACCACCAAATAATTCATCCCAACGCCTCTCCTCCCTGAGACGCCAGAGTCTGCAGATCTGCCCCTTCTTCTGCAGCCAGACAAGGCAGGGACGGTGCTGGAGAGGGGACGGTGCCAGAGCTGGACCTCCCAACCCTCTGCATCAGACCTGCCAGCCATGGGGAAGCCATCAACCACTGCCCAAGACCGAGCTGGGAAGAGGAGGTGGGTTGGGAAGCTGATGGCCACTCCACTGCCCCCAAAGGAGCCCAGTGGCCAGCTGCGGCTGCCCGTATGCCCAGCTCCCTCCTTCCCTGTTTTCATCTCCCTTGGGTTGCACCCAAGGCTACGGGGAAGCAAGAGCAGAGTACACACTGGTCCACTCCAGTGCTCCAGCTATTGGTCCAAGCAAACACGAAGAGGTCCACCAACGGGAGGCTCAGTGGCTGCTACAGCTTCAGGCCTGGCCAGAAGTGTCCGCCTGCAGCCCTAAGAGCCTGGGAAGGGAGGAAAACCGAAGCAAAAGGGCACGGGGAGCTCTCACACCTCACCTCCTGACGAGGCGACAGGCACTGCTGGTGGCTGGGTGACGAGGGGGACGCGTGCATCCCCATCCTCATGGACCTGGTCGTCCTGCTGCTGCCTCCCTGAAGAAGCGCCCCGAAACTTAATTCTTTCTCCGTGGCAGCAGCAGCTCCACCCTTTTTCCCGTTATCCCTTCCAATCCAGTGACTTCAGCTCCGGCTCCAAACTGGGAGCGGCGGGAGGGAAGGAAAGGAGGCGAAACGTCAAAGCGCAGCCTCCCCCTATCTCCTGGGACGCACGTGTGCTGGGCAGGAGGGAGCCAGCAGGCTCCTTGAAGGTGGAATAACAATATAAGGAGAGAGGGAGTGAAAGGAGCCCTGCCTGGGGCTGTTGTATGGATCAGCTGGGTCTCATTTTACTGAGGATTTACAATCCCAAAGCATTAGGTGCCAAAATAATGAGCATTAATGGGATGTACATCGAAGGGAAGACCAGCACGAAGTCCTGATAGATCCCCTGCCCCTGATGTAGTGCTGGAGACAAAAAATCCATCCCCTCCTCCCCCTCCTAGACTGCTTCTCCCAAGTGGGTAAATTGCACGGGACTCCTGTGTTCCCTTCCACCCTCAGACACGGAGCCACAGCTCTGGAACTGGCTTTGAACTATTCTTGTCATAGCAGGGCTGGTACGAGACATCAGCTGATGCACAAGGTGCCACTTTTCTCCCGCTCTTCACAACCAAATCCAGCTTATTCTCTGGCGTAAAGAGCTCTAAGTATCAGCAGAAAAGACAGCAGGGTTCAAACTGAACCAGAGGAAATGGCCTGGCAGTGGGAGGAGGAAATGCTCAGGAAAGCCGAACTGCTGGGAGAGATCCGGAGATGCAAGGATGTGGCGGGATGCACCCCCGGCAAAATGCATGGCCGTGTAGTGCAGCTTGGGGCTGTGGATGGTGAGGCTTCACCTTGGGAGGTAGCACAGCAATTTTACCTAGTTGCATCCATTCCCACCAGTTACATGTACATTCAGCCCTGCGGATGGCCAGGTAGAGGCACTGGAGGGGGTGCCAGGCAGCCGGGACATAGGTGAGGTCTGGAAGGACTGGATTACAACAGCAGGTTAAGGAGAGGCAGCTGCCTGCTTTTGGTGAAGAAGGGCTACAAAGGAGGTGATAACAGGCTGCAAGTATCTCAAGAATGTAAACACCAAAGAAGGAAAGGGGATGGGAGCAAAAGAACGACTCCTGGGTGGTACAGAGGCGCCAGGATGGAGAAGTGGAAGAGAGGCTGCGGCAGGCTGAGGAAGCTCTGCGTCCAAGGGGACTGATGGGATGGTCACCATCGCCACCACTGTGCCTCCTGCTCTTCCCACTCCCAAAGGCTCCTCAGGACCTCGGGTCCTGGAGCACCACTTCCTCTCACATCCAAGAGAATGTGCAAAGGGCTTTCGTCCTTCCAGCAAGCACAATGTCTCCTCTCCTCCAAAAAGGGAACCCGCTCCACAAGGCACAGGCCCCCCAGGCCAAGCACACAAATCGAAACTGCTCAGTTCAGTTTAGTGGGAGCAGAACCGCCCCCCGGCTGTAGCACACATGCAGCTCACACACAAGTGTGCTCCAAAAGCAAACGGGCAACAGCCTCTTCCATTCCCACCGCTCCCATGCAAAACGCCAGCGGGCAGGGCCCAGCCTGTCACCTCCATGACCCTGCTCAACAGCCTTCCCTCCCGGGGTGGAAGGCATCCCCATGGAGGAAGGCTCGCCCCAGGGGATGGAAGCTCCCTGCCCCAAAACCACATCTGGTTCCCACAGGGAGCAGGAGCTCCCCGTGCTGGAGCGGGGAGGGGGGGCGGCGGATTTCACCCCCGCTGCGGTCATCGGTGCGGTGAGCTCGGCAGGCCTCAGCCCAGCCCACTGCTTACACGCGATGTTACCCATGTCCCTGCCGCTGGGGGGGTGCCGGCCGCTAACGAACCCACTCTACCGAGTGGAGCCCTCCATGGGGCAAGCGAGAAGGCACCGAGCCTCGGCCACAGCTTCGAGTGCCCCGGGGGAGCAGCGGTGCCCGGGAAGCGGCGGCTGACAGCCCCTTCCCACCCGAGGGGCAGGACAGCGGCCGCGTACATGAAACAGATGAAGCTCCCCCCCCTCGACCCCCGAGGGCAGGTCCCGACTCACCGTCATGGCGGGGGCTCCGCGGCCGGCGGCGGGGCCGGGGTCGCGGCGGGGCCGGGCGCTGGCAGCCAGGGCTGCGGGGCGGCTTCAGCGGCCGGGCGGCTTCCAAGGCCCCACCATGCCCGCTCCGCCGCCCGCCTTCCCCCCGCCCCCCTCCCCTCCTGTTTTACTTGGAAAAAAAAAGGAAATAAAAGGAAGAAAAAAAAAAAAAAAAAAAAAGAACAACCCCCAAAACTTTTCTTTCCTCCCCCCAAACTTCCTGGGAGGGCCCGGGCAGGCCAATGGCAGCCGCCGCCGCCGCCCCGGCCGCCCGCAGCCAATGGAGCCGTCGGGGCGGGCGAGGCCGCGGGGCGCACGGAAAAGGGGAGCGGCTCCGGGACGGGACGGGACGGGACAGAATGGGACGGGGTCGGTGCTGGGGCTGAGCCGCTTCGCTCTCCCGCCCCGTGGGCACGAAGCCCGCGGCTGAGCCGCTGCTGCCCCAGGAAGGGACGGCCGGAGCCCGGCCCTTCTTCAGGCAGGGATTTCCTTGTTGTTTTCCAGGCAGGGATTTCCATCAGTCCCGTCGTGTGTGTGCACACAGCAGGGTCCTGGTCCTCACCTTTGCTCCTGAAGCTGCTCGGTTTCACCTCCCACCCAAGAACCCCTAAAGCAGTGATTTGCAATCTTGGCAGAGGTGGTAGCAAGTCCATGGGGGCCTTTGGTGCTCCCCAAAGCACATCTGTGGCTGGCATCAGGCTGGGGAACTGTGAGAGAGGGTCCCAAAGGAAAAGGAGCATAGCAAAATGACAGGTTCTACACCGAGTTGACACCTCTTGCCACAGGTGCCCAGGCCAGAGCTCACTGCTGAAGAAACCTGGGGTGAACCTGCCTCAATTGTACACAGGGAGCTCAGGGCTTGGGCTCCTCTCTGCCCTGGGACAGCAAAGTGAGGGAAGGGATGCCACCCGTTTCGAGTTTCAGAGACCTTTGGCAGCCTCCCGCCTGACTGCAGCTTGTCCTCGTGTAAAGCACAAAGCCTAGCAGGGGACATCTCCGCCAAGACGACTGACGCACATGAAGGGTGACGGAGGCAAAGAGACTCCGGCACGGCTCGCAGCTACAAGGGCTGCCAGCACTCTTTGTGCAGACCTCCAAAGCAGCTCTCGTGCCTTTTTTGGTATCTCAGGAATCCAACACAATTGACCATATCTTCTTTCATGCCACTAAAGCCTGCTTCATCCCTATGAAACCCTCAGTGCCATCGTAACACCAGGCAGTAGTAAAGGGAGGAAGGCAGCTACTCTGAGGTTTTAGTCCCAGCTCTACTGCTTGCCCCTCTCTGGCTTTAAAAAAACAAAAGGCTCTGTGCCCCTGTTTTTCCCCACTTGAGAAGTGGGCAAAGAACAAAGAGATGGTGGTACCCAAGATAGTGATGCTGGTACCCAAGAGGTCACTGGAAGGCAGCACCACGCTAAGCCTGCTTAAATCAAGTGCTGGAGACCCAGATGCTGCCAACAGTTACCTCCATTCCCAGGTCCCAGCCCCTACCTTATTGTGCTTCTCACTGTCATTTGAACGTGGCTGCAGGCTTCCCGAGGATCTGGTGCTGCTTTGTGGTGGGAAGGCACCTCCACACAGCTGGGGCTGCAGGGAAAGAAAGCAGGAGCTGAAGTCATGGGGGTTAGTCCTCGCCTCGGTTTCTCAGATCTGAGCAGCCACCTCCCAGCGTGGGCCAGGGTGGGAAGCATCCTCTCTTTTCCCAGTGCCAGGCAGGCAGCTTGGCTCCCCTGGAGTAGCAGAAGATCCACAGAAGTTGGGATGCGCAGAATTGCAACCCAAGGGACCCACCCACTCTGTGCTTGCCAGTTTTATTCCTGCCAGGGTCCCCATCACCTTGGCTCCTGCCCTACTCACATGGTAAATGAGAAGCCTCTTGTTCCCCCAGTCGTTTTCCAATGGCTTCTCTGGGTTGTTTGTGTTTTGGGTGTGCTCAGGACCTTTCCAGGCATCCTCCAGCTGCTGTGCTGGGCTTTCAGGCCTTTTCCAGCTGTCATCCGGCCGTAGTCTCACATCGGGACATTTAGTGGGGCTTTTCCAGTCCCTTTCCAGCTGGCGCATCAAGTCCGCATGGCACACAGGCTTCTCTTGGCGCTTCCAGTCCTTCTGCCACGCCTGCGTTTGGTGGGCATCCCCCCGACCCCTCCGGTCCTGCTCCAGTGCTCGTGTTGGGCTCACAGGGCGCAAGGGCTTGCCTTGGCCTTTCGAGTCACTGCCAGTGCCCTTCCCAGGGTGGGGGGCTGGCAGCCTTTCCCGGAGGCTCTGCCAGCCACATTCTGATGGCTTCCCAGGAGCCCGGAGCTGCACCAGTTCCCCTGACCTCCCCCGTTGCCTCTCCGCTACCCGCACCGGAGGGGCGATCTTTTGGCTTCTCCATGTGCTCTCTGTATGTCTCCCGGGACTGAGGGACCGCGGTGGTGGCGCTGCCCGGCTCAGCCTGCTGTTATCCAAGCCTTTCCCAAGGCCCACGGGGTGCAGCGCGTCCCCTCGGCTCTTCCTCTCTGGTGCTTGCCCTGTACTCCTCCCAAGCCAGGCAGCTCGGCCCCTTTCCGAGCTGGAGGCATGTACAGGCTCCTCTCGGCTCCTCCAGCTCTTCTCTGAGCACCAGGGAGGGCTCACAGGCGCTCGGAGCCGGGCTTGTGGAGCGCTTGTGGGACTCACGGACCGTCGCGCTGGGCTCGTGGAGCGTGGGCTCCGGTTGCCTCTGTCCGACAGCCAGCTGGCGCTGGCAGGGTGCGGGCGGTCCCCCCGGCTCCTGCTGGCCTTCTCAGGGTGCCGAGCTGGGCTGGGGGAGCGCAGGGGCTCCTTGGGGTCTCTGCTGCGCTGCTCAAGGTGCCATGAAGGCCGCTGACCCTAAGGAACAAGGCAGGATTAGGGCTAGGAGATGGTTTGGTTAAATAGTTCCTTAGACAGCAACTGCATCTCTATGCATGGAGCCAGCCTGTACTGAAGAGAAGCATCTAGCACACAAAGGGTGAAAGGGCTGCTGCCATTTAAGAGCCAGGAGTCTCAATCCATGCCAGAGGGAGGGCTGGGAATAAAGGGGAGAGCAGGGAAATGGGGGAGAGAGAGAAGCAGAATGTGGCAGAAGGAGAGGAGAATGTGGCAGGGAAAAGCAGGAGTTGGGATGGGGTCCCACCACACAGCCAAGACTCACCTCCCTGGGCAGGCTGGGGCTGGACTGCCTCCGGGCTAGGCGGCCTTTGCTGGGTGGCACAGGGGTCTTGCCATCGAGCCGGTCCACACGGCCCTCCTCCAGGGCCTGGAAAGCCTCCAGGGTCTCTGATTTCCTGTGAGCATGCAGTTTATCCAGCCACTGCCAGGTTCAGCTCAGAGACACAGCCCCTGCTCCATGTAAGCCTGACCCCACAGACCTCCACCTGCCCCAGAGCCTCTCCCTGTCGCCATCGCTTCAACCGTCCCAGCTTTCATGTCCTGCTGCCTCACTCATGTCTTCTTCACACTGTTCCTTAAGCTTCCCTCCATCTAGCCAAGGATACTTTCCTGGTCCCCATTTACATCCCCTTCCACCCTGTGCCACCAATGACGGAGCCACTCTTGCTTCCACAGTCAAGACTCAACAAGCACTGAGTACCACTTAGCATCCCCTGTCCTTCACTGAACAGCTCCTACAGTGGACCCTGGATCCCCGGGGAGCCAACTGATGCTGGAAGTGGTGACCACCTCTTTCCTTCATCCTTTTCATGGCTTGCAGTACCTCCTGCAGCTTCCTAGAGTTGGATGTGAGGAGGAGGAGGGTGGGCTGTGCAGCTTTGCTCCACCTTTCCAATGGATTCAGCTGCAATTTGGTGTACTGAAACCGGGGAGCTCCTCAGGTTGGAAGGCACTGAGCCTAAACCCAACCCTTGCTTTAAGGGAAATTCAAGCACAGCTGAAAGCTGAGCTCTGCCATCTACCCCTGCTCTCTACCTGAGACACAGCAATTCAGAGGTGGGGCACCCCGACAGCATAGAAGAGGGGCCCCACTGTGGAGTCCCATTGCTTCTCACCTGCGTTCGCAGCCAAACATCCTCTCCACCTCCACCCGGCCGGGGCTGAGCATGTGGGAGCCACAGCGGTCGACAGCATCCCGCTGGCTGAGGCGCTTGGGCAGGTTGGCCAGCACCGTGTACTCCTGCCTGTCCAGCCCGTGCCGCCCCTCCGTGCCCCTGCCACCGGGCTGCCTGCAGGGCTCCCGCACCTGGGAGCCAGCAAGGTGCCCGCTGCCACCCAACGGGTCACCGCGGGAGGAGCCGGTGGTAGCACGTGGAGGGGTGGATGGCCACGGAGGGTCGGCTTTCCGGTGCTTCAGCCAGCTCTCCTCGGGCTTCTGGCTGGTGGGACGGCACTCTGGGACGGGGAGAAGGCCGTTACTGGGGGAGGCATGAGCGACGCGGGGTGCCACCACATCCACAGCAAAGCAGGTCTTCGGAGGAGAGCTAGAAATGGTCCAGGAGGGCAGAGATAGAACCCAGACTCCCTCCGGGAAGGGTGGGAGTGCTGGGGCACGGCACTGCAAGCTGAGGGCACACCAAATCATGCAGACAGAGAGCACTCTGGTTCGTGGTCACAGATGGCATCTCATGGACTCTAGGCCTCATCCCTTTACATGGTACCCATGGAGGCGTTGAACCTCCTGGGACCAGAACTAGTAAAGAGCTGCTAAATCTAAGAGATCTGCTGTGAACTTCAGAGACCTCCGGGTGGAAAGCAACCCAGAAGCAGGGTCTCACACAGGAACAAACCAGTGTACCTGCTTTCAGAGGGCAGATTTCTTTCCTAAAGTCCTGCGCCTCGATTCTCACCCAGGATCCGGAGGGAATGGGCTGAGCCCACCTGGGTCTGTCTGCCTGCAGGGCTCGCGATCGCACCTCCTCCTTATGGCCCACGTAGCTCATCATGTCCCGTTTGCCTGATCCCATAGTGTTGTCCCACAACCAGGTCATTTCCCCGTCCTGGGAGACAAGATAGGGCAGATCTCTGCTATGGGGACTAGTAGCTTTTGGGGGCTGGAAGGAGGTGAGAGCGTATATGAGAAGCTACAGCCCATTCAGCTCAAAGCTGCTGGTAAAAAGGAACCAGGAGAGGAGCTGGGTAAGCATAAGATGACCCCGGCCCAACATCAATGGGCGTGCCAAGAAGCAACATAGGGAAGTCTGCTTGGGGGAATCAAAGAGCGACTCTCATGCTCTTTAGGGGAAGACTGATCCCCCCCTTGCATCTCAGGGCCTTCTGAATGTGCCCCACAGAAGAGGCATTGAAGGGCTGAGGGGACTGAAGAGACCAAAATAACCCACACCATGAGAGATCCCCATCTCACCCTGGCAAGCGAGGAGTTGGCTTGGGTGCAGGCGCTGGGGTCAGTGCTGGTTTCTCTGTGCTCGCCCTCAGCTCCGGGGCTGAGCGGGGGATATCCCCAGCTCTCGTGCCAGCTGTGGGGCAGGGAGAGAGGACAGCTGGTGGTCAGCACAGCTCAGGGATGGGAGGCAGTGCCAACAGCCCAAGCCATACTGTCTCTGTCTCTACTGAATGGGCAGGCACTGGCAGAGCCCATCCTGGCACCACCGGCCTTGCTCTAGAGGCAGTGAGGAGGAAGGAGACTCTTTTGGTGGCCTCCTGACCTCTCCTAGGGGAGTTAGAGGGTATGGTGGGGGTTGCTCAGCCCTTGTTCCCAGGCACGGGTGTGCAGAGCGTCAGGGGGAAGGCATCTCATTTCCTTTGCTTGGCTTCCCACTCCCCATCCTCCGTTAATCCCACTGAGGGAGCTCCCGGCTGGTACTCACCCCTCCGTCCCCTCCACGGGGCTCACGCACACATATACCTCGCACTGCGGGGCTAAGATATGGAGAGCGTCCCAGGGCCCGCCTGGGTCCGCGTTGCTGCTGGCATCGTGTCCTGCCACTTCCACACCATGCTCCTGTGAGGAAGAAGGGGGTGCAATGGTGCCGTCAGCGTGTTGAGGATGAGAAGGAAAGCTGCCCTTTGGAAAAAGCTGCTTCTTCCACCTCCTCCAAGAGCAGCCTGGTCTCTGGGGCTCTTGATGCCTCTCCCAGCCCTCCGTTGAGGTTTTTCTCCTGCTTCAGGTGGCCCAGCACACTCCTATTTGATGCTGAATGCTCCAGGTGTCCCAGAGACAGCGCGTGTGAATGAGGGCTCAGTGCAACTGCTCCCCGCTGTCAGTGCTGATGCTGCTGACAGCTACTCTCCCTCCCCACCCAGATAGCCCGGGAAGAGGCGATGGAGCAAAGAGGGAGGGAGGGTTTGCAGTGAAGGCTGTAGCCCCAGCCTCCCTCTGCGCTTGTGGGTGCCTCAGCATTCTCCCCAGCCCTGTTACCTGCAGGGCTTATGAGCGGCAGTGGGGGATGCTCCAAGGAGCCGGCTGTCCGTGCTGCCTTCCCTCCAGCGTCTCACCAGCACTGGGATTCGCTCAGAAGCGACAGCTCTGAGCAGATCACAGGCAAAGGGCTGAGGTAACCTTAGAGGGCCCAGGGCCAGGGGTAGAGAAGAAGAGGGCAAGAAAGAGAGAGGAAAGCTCATTACTATTTCATCATCCCAGGCCAGTTGCTCCTGGAGGACAGCGAACAACACGAAACCCTTCCTGAACATGAAACCAGCTGTGGCCCGGTCAGAAGCAGCCAAGTGGCTTGTGCAGCCGGCCCTGTGTTGCAGCACTATGTTGGATCAAGGTATCCAGAGCACAAAGACTCATGAGGTTTATCCCCCTCCTGCCTTACTCTCCAGGAACAGCTCACTGCAGCTGCTCCAGGGACTCAGCCCTGGCCCTAAACTGACAGCCAGGGGCATCCACCAGGACCATATTCCAGGTGAGGTAAGCTATAAATGCCCGCAGGCATCAAGCAGAGATTAATCCAGGATGGGTCCCAACTGCCAATCCCACCTTCCCCCTTGTAGCTTTGCCATCTGCAACACCCCTGTTTTCCTTTCCAGCATCTATCACACCCAGTGCCCAGCCCTTTCCTGCTAAGGTGGCTCCCAGCTCTGGCCCAGGCAGGGATTCCCATACCTGGGAGGCATGTGGAATCCCAACCTAGAACAAAAGGTTCCTTAATGAAGTATTCATAGCCTCCACGTGGAATGGAGGAGCTCACCTGGACAGCGTGCTGGTGAGCCCCTGCAGCTCGGAAACAGTGCTGGCACAGGCTCTTTGCAAATACGTTGGCTTCAAAGTTCATGCAAGGCACATCATTGACTGAACCAGACATCATCCATAGCAAGGGTGAAGATCTTTGGCTGCTGGGCTGCTGGCAGGGTGCAGCCAGGAGGCAAAGGAGGAAGGAACAGCAGCAGAAGACCAGAGCTTAGGGTCCCCCAGCCTTTAGCTCCTGTGGAAGCAGGAATGTTATTCCCAGACTGCAGTTTGCTGCTCTCAGCTGGCAATACTGTAATTGAAGGGCACCCAGGTGCAAAATGATCAGTATGATCCATATAATTATAGATAATAAAATTGTATGCTCCAGCAGGGACTTCTTTTAAAAGGGGGCAATGCACTGCACCCTCAAATGACTGCTGACACCTACATTATGGGAGTCCCTGTGAACAGAGGAAATGATGCTTATGTCCTGCTATTTTGTTTGATGAAAGTTTTCTTCCTTCAAGCTCTCTTAAGAGGCACAATAAGGAAAAATTCCTCTTGACTATGCTTCTCAGAAAGGGATAGCTATAAGACGCTTAGGAAATTTGGAAACCCATGAGACTCTTTCTGAGACCTGTAGGACAGTCAATTGCAAAGCTGTGAAGGGCAACAAGCCCAACAGCTGGGCTCCACACTTCTGTCTTGGCTTTTCACGTGCACCCTGCCCACCATCACCTCCTCTGTCCCACAGAGCAAGTCCTTGGATTTGAGGAAGTGATATGTGCTGGGAGGGCTCTCTTTAATTTGTCCAGAGGATCCACCAACAGGACAGGAAGTCAGTGTGGGATGAGTCCAGCATCCCTGATGTGAGCATGCCACTGCTTCTCTAAACAAGAACACCCAAGTCAGAGCAGGTGGTCGAGTTTATAAGTGATCCCAAAAACAACTAGGGCCAAATGTCGATGCCAAAACCGAGCTATATTTTTTTGTTTTCAGTGCACTCATTTGAGGTACAACAACTGACAGTACCGCCAACCTTGCAGCCTCCCTCCTCATATGGGGGCATGTATCTTGACTCCTTCACACAAAATACTGGACAGGAGCATAAGCCCTCACCTGCCAAGGGTGGAGTACGAAACACCCCAGCACTGCTGCCCACCCCTGCCCATGGAGCATCACCTCTAGTTGGAGCCCATAGCACCCCATTGCCTGATGGGCAAATCTTTGCTCCCCCCATCCTTTGGGGTCTACTGCCAGGGTAATACTGTGATCCCCAGGGTCTCTGGCATGCATGCGTAGAGCCAGTCATCCTGAATGCTCCCAGTGCCTCCCAATGCCCCCAGTACCTCAGCTTCCCTATGGCTCCCAGCACCTCGCCGCCCGCCGAGCTCCCCCCTCAATGAAGTTCGCCGTGGGAACGGTGGGGGGCGAGGCCCCACCCCTTCCCCTCTCATTGGCTGCCACCGGACAATGATTTGAATATCGCCCTCTGAGTGGCTGGCGAGGCGCGGGTTTGTGGTGCCCACGGGTGCGGGTACCCACGTGTCGGTGGCAGCAGGCAGGCGATCGACCCGGCCGACCCCGGGGCTGCTGGAGGCACCCGGCTGCGGTTTATCCCCCCGCCTTGCGCCCTCGGCCTCTTCTTGCCCTTCCCCACGGCTGCATCTCCCCCGGGACCACCCCACCGCCTGCCAAGGTCTCCCCCAGGGCATCATCCCAGGGCCTGGTTAACCTGAACCCTAAACTGATGGTAAAGCAGTGGAATCATCTGCAAGCACTGAGACAGCCAAACGTGACCGTGTCCCCCAGCCCAGCTCCATCAGGAGGTCATTCCTACCCACAGCACTCCCCAGAGAGGTTTGTCTTACCTGGGCTTTACCTGCCCAGCACAGGTCCTGCCTGAGCCTTGCTATTCCTAGTGTAATGTAGCATGTAAGCATGTTAAGATATTAAGACATCTGTCCTCCATTGCTCCTGTTACAACCCAACCTCCTTCTCTTCACAGTCCTGGTGAATATTAAGAAAAAAACCCAGAAGCTTGATTTCACTTTTTGTTTACCCCTTAAAAGCAGTTTTCAATCCACTCCTCAAACCTGTTTTTCCCAGGCACCCTCAGTTATTCAGCTCCATTAGACCACAAAAGTCCTTGTCACTCTCCCAGCAACTTCTTCCCCAGTTCATTTCTGGAAAACAATGCTGGAAGCAGCAGTGGAACTGTACTGGGTTCAGCCTTGAGCCTGACATGCTTCTGAAGAGTAATAAACACAGTGCACTGATTGTCACGCAGCTCATGCACACCCTGTTTTTCCCCAGCTCCTGTTTTTCCCCAGCTGTCTGACCTCTTTGCCTCCCTGTCTGGTTTTGATGCTCTGTAATCCCAATTACATTTTTGTGCGTGCATGTGTGCAGAATCACAGTCTAGTCAGTGAAAGCCATCATGCACGGAAACCTCAGCATGGCAACCCATGTCAAAGCCTTGCCTCCCTCTGTGTGAGCCCTCGGGCACAAGCAGAAGTAACATGCAGGGGCCAGAGCTGCAGAGCCAAGCGTGAAAAACCTGTGCCGAAGCTGTGGAAAGGAGAACACGCAGGGAGCTGCTGGCCTCTGCTCTTCATTCTTTCAGCAGTGGCTGCACCAGCAGGTTCATTTTTGCAGGTACTTTATATTCAGAAGATCCTTAACAGCTAGAACTTGTTTGTGAGCAGCTGGCTGGGGGGGAAGAACAATAAAAATGCTCAAATTCATCTTGAAAACAAGGGGAAGCAGCAAACAAGAAGAATTTTAAGTCACAGTCTGGGATGAACTGTGATGTGTCTGGCAAACAACACATTAACTTGGTGCAGGAGCTCATATTCTTGATATAGTTTATCCTGGGGTGCCCTGTCTGCACACCCTGGACATAAGGAAGATAACAAGCTGGGGCTGAGTCAGTAATTTACATCACCAAATAAAGCTTTAATCGATCAGATGGAGAAATCAATACTGCAGTGAACAATCCTGATGGTTAACACGGCCTAGGATGTTAACAGTTCTCTTCTCAGTTTTTCCATTTGCCTTGGTTTTTTAATGTGAAAACCTAACTTACAGCAGGAACTGGAAGCTTTCAGAAGATGGAAGAGGCTGCTGGTGATTAAATCAGACACTTGAAAAAGGCTCAGAAGTTATCAGGGCCAGGAATACAGCAACCTAAAAGAGATTCTTGTAAATCACCTGGCAGCAAAATAACACCGCAGTGCTGTTGATGTCCCTCTTACCACCCCATCAGGACTACAGTGAGGCAATCTAGTGCTGTCCCTATGTGCCAGGCTGCCTACAGGCTGTGGAAGGTGAAGTAATCCACAGTTCCCACTCCACACTTCCAGAGATGTCACAAACACAGACTGTACATTTCCTTAACAGTGGCCATCCCAGCTCCAGAGCAAACTCTTGGGGTGGGGAAGCAAAAGTCACCTGCCCACATTTATTCCACAAGGCAGAATGTCTGAAGGGAAAGGTGCTGTAGGACCCACACAAAGGATGTCAGGCGATGTCCTCCAGCTTTGAGCTACAGTCCCCTTGGCACACCACTCTAAGCAGAATTTCCCTCTCCTTCCCTCCTACATCCTCCCTCTCAAACCCAACAACCACACAATGGCTCTAGAGCACACTAACTACCAAACCACAAGGAGAAGTGCTTTTGTGATCCTCTTGGACACTTTGGATGAAATCCAGCCGAGCATCAGACTTCTGGCCTTGCCTTGGAGTTGTTTTCACAGCTCTGAAACAGCCAACACCTCAAGGCAAGACAGGAAGGCCGGGTAACACAGCTCATGGGTTTAATGAGCATTCCGGAGCTGCCTTTAAGGCAATGTACTAAAACTATTTTGGAAGTGAGGGAACCGCACACACTGCACTTTCATGATGTGACTGAGGTTATTCCACATTAGTGCTTAAGAACTCAGCTCAGTATGGGACTCGGAGTCCAAGCATGTAAGGCACATGGGATAAAACAGTATCCACCTCCCCACCATTCACCTCCAGAAGAAAAAGGGAGGTACAAAGGGATCCCCTGCTTCACATACGTGTCACCCAGTTACCTCCAGAGGAAGATGCTCCAGCAGAAATTGTGTGGCTGCTGTCAGTGTTGGGATTGTACCCTTCTCAACAGTGTGCACATGCTCCAAGAAATGTTGGAGATCCACCAGGCTGCAGTTAGCTTTAGTGGCTGGTGGCCATCACCATTGCTCTGATCTTTCTCCATGAAGCCTCAAGCACTGGTCTGTTCTTTCCCCTTCCATTTCTGGCATGAGGAACATATGTGCTCTCCCATTGCTGGGTTGCCAGTTTTCTGGTGTGGGTTTTGGCCACACAAGCCTTTCCTTCCTTTGTCATTTACTTGCCAGTACACATGTGGCATGGGTGGAGGCCTGGCTAACCGGGGCAGAATGGCCACCATCTCCTATAGATACTCCAGAACAGAGGCCAGCATGCTGCCTAGGCTTCCTCTTCTCCTCAGAGGATTCACTCAGTTTTGCCACCAGTATTCCTTAACCCAAACCATGCAAACTCTCTTTTTCCCCTCCTGCTGAAGGCATCCATGCTAAAAAACATATACTGAAGTCCGAAGAAGAAAGGCGATTAACTGCTGCTGACTGCAGCAGCCCTGAGGTAAAGGGCAAGGGTAGCCTCTGCCACTCCCATCCCAGAGAGGGCCACACACATACAACAAGGGCATTAGGGCATTTCATACTCCTCTGAGCTATCGCAATTAAGATCGGCACATTCAGCAGACAATGGAATGAGCCATTCCTGCTCTGGCTGGCTTGGCACCGCAGAAATAGCTCCTAGCTATTCCATTTCCCAAGCACCAGTGGATTTCAATATCCTTTAAGCACCAGGAACTACCTCCCCCCTTTCCAACTGGTACTGGCCTTGGCACAGTTGCTGTTACACTTCAAATAAGACACAAGTGGGTGGGTTTTTTTCTAAGCAAAATGATGTAATAAAGATTTAGTCACAGTGTTACCAAATTCCACCTGGCACAAGTAGCAAACAAAAAGTACCCCTGCATTCAAGTGTGGCACTGGAGAAGAAACACATGAGACAAGATGACACCCCATCCCTATGGAAAAAGGATTTACTGCACAGGAGAAAAGCCAGGGCACTGATGCACAAGACTGGAAGCAGAGCTCTTCCAAGCCTCATAAACTGCCCTGACCATGTGCCTGTTGCACTCTGCCCCAGATCCTCTCCTTTGATAAAGCCAGGTATCAGCTCTGGAAGGGGAGGTCCAAGGACAGAAAGGTCATGCCAAACAGAGTGTGATCCCAGCAGAAGTGTTTAGAGACTCCATGGCACCCAGACACTTAGTAGCTGGAGTTCATTGTGGAAATACATGGGTGGAGTGTCCATAGTCACCCTGACCGGAGCTCAGGAGGGGAGAGGAAAGGTGGTCTGGGCTCACTGCTGGTCAGACAGCCAAGTCAACAACGCCCTTGCACACAGTGAAAGGGTCCCAAAAAACAGCTGGCCAGATGTGGAGCACTGTCCCAGCTGCTGGGCTGAGCACTAGTTCCTTCATCAATCTTGATCACGGCCCATTTTGCCCGTCAGCCTCCGCCGCTGAGTCTTAGTGGTCCGCCCCGTGCTGGACTTCTGGATTTTCTTGCGTGGGCCTTGCCCATGTTGGAGTCTCTTTCCTTTTCTCTTTTTCCGGCTGTGCATGTGCAGCGTGGCAGTAAGAGCAGAGATCCTGTGCAGGGCAGGAAGAGAGAAATGTTTGGAGACCAAAGTCTGCAGGAGCAAGGCAACATCACAACAAAAGCAGGAGAGCCCTGTGTGGCCCAGCAGGAGTAAACTTCAGACATGGTGAGCTCCAGAGGAGCTCCACTGTGCTGGGCACCATCCTGGCAGGGAAGGAAACCTGCAAGTTTATGTGTGCAGTAACAACCACAATGAATTTTCTAAGCATTGAGCTTCCCAGCCACCACAGAGTTAAGTAATACTCTGCATTCCTGAGCTAGTTGTAAATCCTGGATACTGGAAAAACATGGAGAATGCCAAAGCCTTAGGGTCTTTCGACCTTCAATCCTAGAGACAAATTCGGCACCCTGCAATACACCATCCCCTGCAATATCTGCCCAGAGGAAGGGCTAGGTAAACACTCCAGGACAAAGCCAGCCCTGCTCTGCATCCTCCTCCTGCTGCTGCTGTCACCAGGGATCAATGCCAGTGGAATGGAGCGTCCGGGACAGGCTTGTGCTCTGCCAGTGCCCTCTGCTGGCTCATCAGCTTGCAAAGCCTAGCAGCAAGTTGCTGGAGTGAATTCATACATACTTTTCAGACAGGAAAGGGTTTCTGGACTTCTTGGGCATTGCTTTTACAGGCTTGTTCACCACCTCTTCTCCTTCCTCTTCTTTTGATCCATCACTCTTGCCCTTAAAAAGGAAAAAAAACAAAAACCCCACCACCTAAGATACATTATAACAGGTAGTTTTGTGACGCTGGTGTTTCTGCTGTCTTCTTGGATTCGTTCTGTTTTGTAAACCATCTTATCATAGGTGAAGTTTCTCTGTTTATTTCTCCACATCCCTTGCTGTCCAAATCTCAAGGTTTCTTCTTACAAGGTTTCTTTTGGAAATGGACAACCAGTGAGAAGTCCTGCAGCAATCCACCCTAAGATCCAAAAACTTGAGCATGACCTTAACGGCTGTGCAGTTGAAGTCTAAACTATGAACTGAAGGTTTCATCTTTTTTCTTAAAAAGCCATCAATACCTCTTTAAGTAAATTTTCAGATTATAAAATGCCCTCACAAATGTAAAAGTTTAACCCAGACACTTCCCCAAAGAGCTCAAATCCAGCCACAGTCATGAAGATCAAAAGGATCAAATGAGCCAGGCCTTGAAAGCCTTTCTGGAACAAATACGAGATTCTCAGTTACAACATGCTTTGAACATAAAAGCAACAGCATCCAGAAGTGAATGATTTTCTTATTTGTAGTCCAAGCACAGGATCATGGAGAGAAGTGCCTGTTTGTCCTAATAATTTTTCCTGATCAGGGCACATGAAAGAGATAGAAGACGGCCATGCAGCAAAGCCTGAAACCTTGCTGCTCATACTGTATTGGCTTTCAAAATACTACATTCTCACCTCCAGCCCTGTGACACCTTTCACTTACACAAGGTCAGTTGGGGGCTAGCAAAGGATTCCAGGGAGCTTTGGAGCGAGCTGCTCATGTAAGGACATTTCTTCTATTTTAAAGGCCCAACATAAGTTGTGGAAAAACTAGGAAGTCACAAGTTTCCCTTTTCATCCCTGCTCCCAGCCTGCTGCAAGTCTGTGGGCACATTCAGGGAGTACCAGCCCTATGTAGCCTGCCCCAAGGACATTTACAGCTGACCAGTGTAACCAGTGAGGCATCAAGAGGCTTTACCACAGGGGTGGTCAGTCCCAGCTGGCGTGCCCCGGAGAGGTCCAGGTCACTGATGGTGGTCACGGTTACAATGTGGTTCGGGTGGTCGATGTTCACAGACTCCGTGCGTGATGTCACCAAGTGCTCCAGTTCATCGGCCTCATCTGGGGAGATGAAAAAGGTAATGCACTGCAAAGCACCCCGTCTTCCACAAGATACATGTGCTTGTCCCTGCAGTGCCATGCTCAGGTGGAACCCAGCCTCTGCATCCAGGGTGGAAGGGCCTGAACACCAGAACTACAAGCATAAAGGGCAAGCTGCTTCTCCCAGCACAGCACTTGAAGATGCTCTCTTGCTTGCTCCTTTCTGCACACCCTCCTACCCCCTATCCCACCAGGACACGAGGGCTGCAGTGGTCACTACTCAGATTGCTGCCCAAGGGGAACACTAGAGGAGAAAGGAGCTGATGCTGTGGGACAGCGTGCGAGCACTCCTGTTCTTATCAACAGTGTTGGACCACGGGCGCCCACCCCCGACACCGAGGGCCCAGCACCTACCGAGCGCCTCCTCCCTCTCGCTCAGCATCTTCAGGTACTCCTGGTGCCTCTGAGGGGGATTGAAACAGGTCATTGCGGCACCCCTCCGACCCAAGACCCTCCTGCCCTGCGGCCTGCCCGCCATGGCGGGAGGCGGGCACCCCGCACCCACAGAGGGCCGATGGGGAAGGGTGTTTGTAGGGGTACCTCCTCCTTCAGCTTCCTCTGCTCCTCCTTAAGCTTCCGCTTGATCTCGTCCAGGGCCGCCTTCCTCCGCTCCACCTTCCTCTTGTGGAAGCCGGTCAGGTACTCCCTGCCGCCGGCAACACCGAACCATCCGGCGTTTAGCGATCCCTTCACGGGCAGATATCCCCACCCCGTCGCAAGCATAACACACACACACACACATACACCCGCTCCCGGCCTCACCTCCGCCTGTCCTCGTCAAATGTCACCACCAGCCGGCCCTCTCTGCCGCCTGGACCATTCTTCTTCTTCTTCTTGCGGCCCATGGCGGTACCACGCTGCCGGTACCACGCTGCCGCCCGCCCCTTCCGCCGTGAGGGGCGGCACCGCCCCGCCCCGTCCCGCCCCGCCCGCCATGTTGCCCCAGGCAGGGGAGGGCTGACGGGCTCATGAGGGCCCCAGGGGCAGGCTGCCTCAGCCTGAAGGAGCGGAGTGGGGCCAGCGTTGGGTCCTCTTGTCCCGTTGGTGTGTGGGAGCTGTGTGTTCTGCCCCCAGGCTGGGGTGGGGAGAAGCCACTTCGCAGGTGGCTGTTCCCATCCCTGGGGTGGATGGAGGGTACCTTCAGGTTTGAGTGCCTCCAGCTCCCTCCTCCCCTCAGCTGCCTCCCAGCAAACGGGTTTTGCGGTGCTGCGGTGTGCTGATCTCTCACCTTGAGATGTGTTCTCAGTATTGTACATCTCCATCTGTTCAATAAAAGGTTTTCCTCCAAATACTTAACATCTGCATTTCATCAGGCAAGGGCCAAGAGTTTATTTCAAGCTATCACCGTTCGGTGTTAGTGGCACCCAAACTGCTCCTCTTAGCCCATGAAGACAACTCGGGGGATGCATCTCAGCTCTTACACTGGGGCTCTGATATGCAGGAACTGGCTCAACAGCCTTGGTTTCTGTAGTGATAGACACCAGCACTGCCATGTGCTTGGATGGTGGTTTGAATGACTTGCCCTCTGGTCCTTGCTTTCAAGGTGTGTGTAATGCCTGCATGGTGGCCGGCTCCTGAGGTGCTGCAAGGCCAGCCCAAAACCACCCCCCATGTCACAGAGCGTGATGAGCCCTGACACAAGTCCTGACATGGCCCTCTGCGGCCACCTCGCCTTTATCAACTTGCTGGCTGCTGCGCTCTCTTCCTGGGCTGTCCCTTCACCAGCAGAAATGCAGCAAAACCAGTTCTGTGGTTAATTGCTGCACTTCCCTCCACGCCCAAGGGGCAGGTCTCCTCCTCCTCACCCACAGCCTGCCTGCACTTCAGCCTCTTCGCCTCTGCCTGCGCTCAGCCGGCTCAGGTGTGCCGTTAAGGCCTCCACGCTCCTACCCGTAACCTTACTGCTTCTCCTGCTTCCTGCTCTCTGCCAGAGCTGCTGCCTCTCCGGTGGCTCCTTCTCCCTTGGGTTGGCCTGCAGGTGCAGAAGGCGCAGGTTGTCCTCCTGATCCTGCCCTGCCCTGCCTTGCCCTGCCTGGGAGGGATAGCGCTGGGACGTGATGGCTGGAGGACATGAGCGGAGCATGAAGGCCCTGAAGGAGGTGTGGAGAAGAGCAGAAAACTCTTTATGTGCAGACTGTGGGAAGCCAGGTGAGTCCCCAAGGGCTGCTGGAGGAAGAGTTGGAAACGGGAGCTGCTCTCTAACAGCTCTTGGGCTGCACGGGAGCCTGGAGTAGAGGGGAAGGAGAGTCATTGCTCTGGGTATTTACTTCTTCTCCCTGGAGGTGAACTGGCAAGGGAGGAGGAAGGAGATGTTGCCGCAGTGCTGGTGGGAAGAAGGACGGGGATGCGGTAGTGCCCTTTGAGCAGGGGCCATGTAGCTGCAGCACCATGGGTTGTAGTCATGTCAGATCTCCAACACAAATCAAGGTCATGCCCAGTCAGGACCTGACAGGAAAGCTGGCAGTGAAATCCTAACTGCTCCACAAAGGGAGTGATTCAGGAGGGCATTGTCTCCTCTGTGACTCAGCCGAGCAGACAACCTGCTACAGGCGCCTTGGAGATTTCTCTTCCTGAAGGGCTTGCTGTCTTCAAAGGGTACTGGGTTTGAGGGTCCTATGGGCACTCTAAAAACACTCATCACGCTCTTCCCAAAAGGGGCACACGGAGCATTCCATCCAAGCCAAATTAAGATTGGGATAATGGGTATCATTTCACCTTCTTAAATTCTTCCAGGAAAATTTTGGATTCAGGGCTGCTTTCCACTTGTGGAGCTAAATACTGTTGTGGGTTTGCTGTATTGTGCTCAACTGCTGGAGTCTTTTCCCAGAGGTGGTTTCACTTTCATCATGGGTGACTCTTTATGCAAAGGGAATTTTCGGAGCACTTGAAGTTTTTTAAGGTTCATGTTAATAAAGATTCAGATGAAGTGGTTGAAGCAGGGGGGATGGGGGGCTATAATAGCTATGCTTTTTCCTAACCAGCATATATACTTTGGGTGTTAATTAATTGGTTCAGATGAAACTGTGGTCACCCAGCTCTGTTTCTCAGGACTACGTTCTCAGCTGAGGTATACATCCCAGGGGAATTTACCACTTCCAGCCATACCCTTTCTTATACCCTCAGATCCTGACTGGGCATCCTCTACTCTGGGTGTTTTTATATGCCTCAGCTGTTCAGGAATTCACCGCAACATCCCTAGCATCAGCAAAGTCAAATCCCTGAAGATGGACCACTGGGATGATGCCCAGGTGCAGGTGAGATCTTTATCCCCACTGGTATGTTGGGTGGGTTGGGTCTAGGTCATACACTAACTGTCCTGCGAAAGTCAGCCCTTTGACTGCACAGAGTTGAAGATATAGTCTGATTTAATCTGTCCCTTTGCTACTCATGCTCTGGATATTTGTGCAGGGATAACTCCCCATAGCCCACTGGGAGAGTCAGGATGCATTTGCCTTATGTGTCTCTCCATGTCCTGTTACTTTATGGCAAATGCAGATCTCTTGCACGTATTTTGCCAAGGCTCAGGGCCTTTGTCACTCCAGATTACTCATTTCCCAGTCACCAGCACCATGCAGCTTCAGTGTCTTCTCTTGGATTCAGCAGTCTGAGGGGAAAATTTGGGGCAATTCCATGCTCTGAGATGAGATTCCAGATATAATGTGATCTCTTGAGAAAAATGGCATTTGTGGGAACTTGACTTATCCCTGTTACACCCCCCTCAACCCATAAATCTTCAGGGGACTGAAAACATTTTCTGGAGATCCAAAGAAAACAATCTGTATCTTGCTGCTCTTTGGAGAGGAGCAAAGAGTTTTGGGATGGCCCTCCAGAAGGTATTGCATAGCTGTTGAACACGGTGTCCCCACTGATGTGGGGCATGGCAGCAAGTCCACTGAGTGTATGTGCACCCAGCCCCATGGAAGTGACATTTATGGCACTCTTTTGATTCAGGTGCAATCACTGTAACTTCTAAAAGCAGACAGGACCTTTGAGATCCACCTTTATGGAGCCAGACATTACTGGGATGTCGCAATGGAGGGGAAGGAGAATGCTCCATTAGAGCTTGAGTGCATCTAGCCCTGTAGTGGGTCAGGAAAGAAAAAGGTCCAACATTACTCAGAATCAAAGGGAAGGCATTAACTCTCTGTCTAATTCTGCAGTTTCTGGCCAAGCATGGGAATGCTGTGACTAAAGGCATATATGAAGCTCACATCCCTATTTACTATTACCAGCCAACCTACAATGACTGTCAGTAAGTTGCTGCATAGAAGAAAAGGGGGAATGGCAGTTCTGGGTTCCTCTCAGTGTTTCTGAGCTACCTGTCACTTCTCTCCCTAGTGTGCTGAGAGAACAGTGGATACGGGCCAAATATGAACGCAGAGAGTTCACTGAGCCAGGAAAACAGCTGCCATATTCTGATGGTAAGAGCAGAGCACAGCATCAAAATATCCTGCCTGTTGCCTTTGCTGGAAGATTTTGTGTGCCGTGAGAAGAAAGCTCATAGTGTCAGAGTGGCAAATCTCACAAGTACTCCTGAGAACCCAGCTGGTATTTATAGGGTATTGTGGTTTTTTGAGAGGGAATTCAGTTGTGGTCAGTGTAGGCTGGTATTGCCATGGATTGCTTCCATGCTTTTTCAAAGGCATTTTCTATCCTGTTGGAGCCAGACCTCTTCAGTAAGGAATTTCTGCCCCGCTGCAAACTACTCCCTCCAACCATGGCAGCTGTCTTTGAAATGCCACTGCCAGTGCTGTGACACAAGGTGCTGGAGCCCAAGGGCCTGTAGAGTTGAGTGGGAAGAGTTCTGGTTCTACACCAGGTTCCAGGACTCTGGTGTTCATAGGAAAGATGGCTCTCATGCTGTTAGAGACAGTAGTGGAAGCCAGAATAGGAGGTGGGAAGCCATCTGGGAATGTCAGTTTATCTGGGCTGCAAACCGAGGAAAAACCACCATCTTCAGCTGTAAGCCAGAGGTGGGACCTCTCCTCAGATGTTTGTTCTCAGCAATAGCTCATCATGTTCATGCTGTGTTCAGCTCTGGGCCTTCCAACACAAGAAGGATGTGGACCTGGTTGAGCAAGTCCAGAGGAGGGCCACGAAGATGATCAGGGGGCTGGAGCACCTCTGCTATAGAGACAGGCTGAGAGTTGGGCTTGTTCTGGAGAAGAGAAGGTTTCAAAGAGACCTTATGGCAGCTTACAGTACCTAAAAGGGCCTACAAGAAATCTGGAGAGGGACTTCTTACAAGGACATGTAGTGATAGGATGAAGGGGAATGGCTTTAAACTGAAAGAGGGTAAATTTAGATTAGGTATTAGGAAGAAGTTCTTTACTATGAGGGTGATGAGGCACTGGCACGGGTTGCACAGAGAAGCTGTGGCTGCCCCATCCCTGGCAGTGTTCAAGACCAGGTTGGATGGGGCTTGGAGCAACCTGCTCTAGTGGCAGGTGTCCCTGCCCATGGCAGGGGCTTGGAACTGCATGAGCTTTAAGGTCCCTTCCAACCCAAACCATTCTGTGATTCTATGTGCTTTATCCCAGAGATATGGCTGGGACCCCAGGCTGCATGCAGCTCTCTGATGCCTACCACGCTTGTGAGAGGATGCTTTTAAAAGTGGCCTTTCTGCTCCTAGGGGTGAAGGAAGGCATCCTCTGGAAGAGAGGTCGAGACAATGGGCAGTTCCTACCCCGCAAGTTCCTCTTGTCTGAGAGAGAGGGATGTCTGAAGTATTTCACGAAGCAGGATGTGAGTATGGTGGTCAACTCCCAACCCAGTGCATACTCCACTCAGGGCAGCACAGGCACAGAGGTGTTTCTATTTCATATGCAAGGCAACCTGTTTCTGAGGTTGCCTGCCTTATCCCAGACATGGGATGATGACAGAAACACGTCTCTGAAGAGAGGGGTCCCCATCCTACTGTCAGGGTGACATTTCCCCATGCCCTCCCTTTGTGCTTCCCTATACCCTTCCCTCACTGCTGATAAAAGGTTTGGTTTTTCACTGGTGGATGGGTGCCCCACCCTTAGAAACATTCAGGGTCAGGTTGGACAGAGCTCTGAGCAACCTCATCTAGTTGAAAATGTCCCAGCTTATTTCAGAGGAGTTGGACTAAATGGTCTTTAGGGTCACTTCCAACCCAACCGTTCTATGTTTCTACGACTCTAGGAGTGGGCTCTTTCCTTTTGAGGTCAGTTAGCCTTTAGACTGGTTCAGCTGTAAAGTCAGATGCACTCCCAGTGTGCTGTTGGCAGTTCCAGAGTAGGCACAGGTCAAATGTAAAATGGGGTGTGTGTGTGCCCACTTTTTGAGCTTGAGCACAATACATAGTGAAGCGAGTGTGTGCTACAGCAATTTTGTCGGGTAGGAGCAGTTATTACCTTTAAGATCCACTGACTCTCTGTTACCCTACAAAGTGTCTTTCCCACTAGGATTGCTTATGCGTGACCAATGCTATTCTGTTATCAGGCCAAAGAACCCAAAATCAATATTAAAATAGATGTCATCAATGCTACATTTCAACCAGTGAAGATTGGGAACCCCAATGGCCTGCAGATCACTTATCTCAAAGACAACAAGACTCGGAATATATTTGTCTACCACGAAAGTGGAAAGGTATTTCGTTTTAGCCTCAAACATTGCAAAGCAATTGAGGTGATCTGAGAAGCTGCTGATACTAAATAGTCTGAAGCATGGGTAGGACAAGGTATGTGTGTGTGTCACTGTAGGTAGGTAACAGGGTGGGGGCTCTGGCTCTGTGTCTGTGTGTCTGAGAGGGTTTTGCTGCAGGGAGTAGGGCAGGAGCATCAACTGAATTAGTTTGTGTGGAAGGAGCTGCCCCAGAAGATGTGCAAATGTGCTGCTGCCTGTGGGTGTGGGGAGTGGGGCAGCTGTGCTGTTTGTGTGTGAGGGAGATGATATAGGTGCTGGGGAGGGAGACCTGGCTGTATTAGTAACTAACATAGGGTTGAGCTGGGTGTATTTATACGGCTCAGTGTTGCTCTGCCTAAGTTTTCTGTCCTGTCCTTTTCCATTCTCAGGAGGTAGTGGACTGGTTCAATGCCATTCGCTCTGTGCAGTTCCATTATCTGAAGGTAGCATTTCCCATTGCCAGTGATAATGAGGTAAGGCGGCACTAGAGTGCAGTGCTGAGTCTTCCACTTGGTGATGTGATAAAAGAGCCCATTAGTTACTATTAGAAGTCCAGGTACAGAAGTAGAAATTGCAGTATTTAGATAGAGGGATGAGAAAGTGTGTGTAGAATTGCCTGTGGTGGCCAGAGGACAACTGCTTTCTGCCCTTTCGGGGCACTTTGAAGGCAGAAGTGACTCCTGGCTAGGCAGTTCGTCAAACATTAATATAAAAGGCAACTGAGTTTGGGGGATAGAAGGGGGGGGGGGGGAGAGGAGCAAAAGCAAATAGCAAAGAAACGTGGCTAAGTTTATCTGACTCTTGCCTTTTTGTCAGATAAAAAATCGGCTGACAAGAAACTTCCTGAAGGAGGGGTACATGGAGAAGACTGGTCCCAAGGTGAGCTGCTGTGGGGAGAAAGTCTAGCAGGGACCTGCCAGAGAGCCACTGACCTTCCCTACTTCAATGTTTTTCTCCTGCTGTTTCCCCATTCCCCCCGACTCTTTAGACACCCGTGGGAACAGTGTGTGTGCACCAAGGGAGGGGACAATAAAAGGAAGGGGAAGGACACATGTGAAAGTAGATGAAGCCAGAGTCCCTGCTTTCTCCCAGAGCAACAGATCTCTCAGCATGTGTCTGTGTGTGCGTGATCTTACAGGTATTTAGCGTCTAGATTTCTCCTGTCTGAACTCTGGGGTTCTTCACAGAAGTCCAAGAGTTGGGGACAGCAGTTGGGGCTGAAAACCCGATACTGATCCCCACTCTCAGCTCAGAAAGGGTGAGGCAGGGGCTTGGTTCAAGTGGTTGGGATGAATTTTGGGTATCCATTCACACTGCTCGCAGCAGAGGGCACTGTCCCCTTACATATGTCACCTCTTCCCTTCACAGCAGAGAGAGGCTTTTAAGAAGCGCTGGTTCACGCTGGATCACCGCAGGCTCACGTACTTCAAGGACCCTTTGGTGAGCGGGAGATCTGACCTCTGGCAGCTGCAGGCAACAGTGCTGAGGGCAGGTCACAGTGCAGTCAGAGTCTTTGCTCTGCAGTAAGGCAGGCTTGCAGATTCCCCAGCTGCTTTGAATGGGCTCTAGGTCTTCTCCTTTCCATCTCACTTAGTTCACTGTATGCTTTCTGTATTTGTTTCACTGCCTGTGAACAATGGGAACAGGGAGGGCAGCAATATAAAAATAGTGATGGGGAGGAGAGTGACATGGGGGGTGACATGGAGCAGTGTTCCCTTTCTCAGACCTCTCTAGATCTATGCTCCTAATTTTTCCTTTCTGCTGCTGCTTTTGAGCATCGCCTCCCTGCTTCTCTGAATTCTCTGACCTCCCCTGATCACCATCCCTGGTCCTCACCCACTCTCCTCCTGTCCTCAGGTGCTCTGCTATTATTCCCTGGTTCTTCTGGGATTCCGTAAACCTCACTTTTTCCCTCTGATGTTCAGGATGCATTTGCTAAAGGTGAAGTGTTTGTGGGCAGCAGAGATAATGGATATAGTGTCCAGAAGGGATTGCCTACAGGGACACAGGGCAACTTCTCTTGGCACTATGGCCTTACCATCATCACCCCCGACCGGGAATACCTCTTCACCTGTGAGACAGAGACTGACCAGCTGGACTGGATCTCAGCCTTCACCAGTGTCATCAACCAGGCCATGACACCACAAGAATATGCAAGTAAGTGCCTGGATGCTGTTTTCTTCCCCTCCTGCTACTCCAGTTCTGGGTATTGCCCTAATGCACCACCTTTTTTCTTCACTACAGTTGAAGCCTACTTCAAGTTTAAATCCTAGGAAGCCATGGATAAACCTGCTATGACTTGACTCTACCTGGTCCTGTCGCTGGGCTGTCAGGAGAGAAGAGGAGATCAACATCAGAGAAACACAGTGCTTTTGAAGCACCCTTTGAAGCACTTTCTTCCCCCATAGATGGTCCACTTAGTTTTGAGCACCCGATTAAGCTGCTTCCTTTCAAGTACAAGACTTTGAGAGTCTGAATCCTCAGTGCAACCTGTCACTGTTAAATTGCTGTGATATGACTGGACGCTGGCAGGCCTTGCCTGTCAGTTGGGCCTTGAAAACTTGGCACTTGCTGTGTTGGACTTGGGACCCAGCATCACTCCTGCATGAAACTTCAGGCAACCACAAACCTTAACAGCTGCCTGGCTGGAACTAAACCCCAGCAGGTTGCAGGGGCTTCTGGACTAGGAGACATGTTCCTTTACAAGAAATGGTTTCTCTGCTGGTGTCAGAGATGTGAAGCATGTACATATTTGATCAGAGCTGTAGTTGAGAAAGGTCACTTAAAAGATGTAAACTAACAGCCAGATGGGAAGTCTGTTTCATCCTGCTGTGTATGGGCTTGAAAGCTTCTTCAGACCTTCCTTTGATTGCTACAGAGAAGAGAGAAGCTCAGAAACAATGTGTGGGTATACATATGTGTATGTGGATAACGTGTGTGTGTGTGTGTGCATGTAACAAAAAGTGATGGGAGGTGGAATACTGACCTAGGAAAGATACTGTGGGGGATATTCATGCCACTGAAATTCAACTATCAAATCTGAGCCTGTAGTCAAACCAATGGAGAGTGTGTCCTGCAGAGTGCAGCTTATGGCATGTCTGATACAGAGTTCTGACTTGTCTTTACTAGAACCTTGAGGTTGATGTCCAAAGGCATCATGGATTCCCTCATTCTCTATGTCAAAGGCCTGGCATTTTCATTCTGCCCTATACATTACATATGTTTATACTGTATACCACATATACCTATGTTTTTATGCAATAGTTTAACAGGGAAGTCTGTATGTTCATATCCTTCTAGTAACAGTTAGCCCTAACCACTGAATCAACCCATGATTCATATCTTAAAGATCATCTCTTAAAGCTCTCCTGGCAGAGCTGTATTTCACGTGCTGGAAGGACGAGCTGAGTTCTTCTGATGACTGTAGTATTTGATGTGTCTGCAGCTTTACACCAGTAGTGTGAGAGCAGGCATCTCGTGGGTTAAGGGGGCTAACTAGAATTAATGAGGTAACCAGTATTTTAATTAGCTCGTAAAGAAATACATTTAAAAGTCCCACTGTAATTTATTTTAATTTCCTAAATGAAGTTAGGAGGCAAACAGTAGTTAGCTGAGCTGCTGACTACTAAGGTATGAGGCTGTTTCTTGAGAGACAGAAAGGACAGACAATCAGAGCAAAGAGCTGTAGGTATTCATTGCATTTCCTGGGGCATGTAAACTGTGGACTTTTCCATCAGAGCAAAATGGGCAAAGTCATGGTCCCCCTCTGGTTCCCTGGGGAGCCCTCTTTGTGCTGAAACTGTCAGAACCTGTTGGGAGCATCGACTTCCTAGGTGAAAAGCAGCGCCATGAGTGTTCCCCTGAGAGGAATGAGGCTAAAATACGGGTGAAGAAAGGGCAGGGAGCAGAAACATCAGGGCATAGATGCCATGCAATGATGCCCCGCTAGAAGGCGATGGTGCCTACCTAACAGGCTCACAGCAGGGAGGAACAGGGCCAGGTCATCGTGAGATGTCCAGACATCTGGTGGGCTTGCTTGCAAACTGGGGGCTACATCCATTATCTATACATTAGGGGCCTTAATGTCTTTGGAAGGGAGTGGGGGACAGGCCTTGGCTAAGGGACAAGCAGAGCAGTGTGGCAGCTCCTTGGCTCTGGTTTCCCTTCTAAAGCCACAGCGTGGTGCTTCCACACATTAGGGAGTTTTGTCTTTCAGTTATCTCCTTTCTCAAATGAGGACAGCCATTCAAAGGGAAACAAGAAGAAGAAAGGGAAACAGGAACAAGAAGGAAGAGGGACCAGGAAGAAGGTGCAGGAAGACAGGGGGGAAGAAAGAGTGTGTCTGCAGAAAAGAGGCAGACAGTAGGGCTCCTCAGCTAGCGGCTGAGTCTGGTATGAACTGGGACTGCATTCACACCGGTGTGTGAAGCTCTGAGTCAGACACATTCCTCTCTGCAGTGGGCAAGGCAACTCCCCAGGGTTTAGTTCAGGGGGCAGAGCCCACCTCTCCAGAGTCTGTCTGAGTTGAGAAGACACAGACTTCGGAGGAGAAATCCACTTGCCACCCGAGTCTGCTGGTTTCTGCGGGCCCAGTGAACACTGGAGAAACAACGAACGGGGAGCTGGTGAAGATCAGAGATCTTTCCTCTTGGCTGGCAGAGGTTATTTTGCACCTCTTTGATCTTGAACGCAAGGGCATTGTCCCCTTCTCAGCCCTTTGGTGACTGAGAGAAACCAAGAGACAGAGCTTGTGATGGACAAGACCAGCAAAATGGACTGGGTGGCTGGAGGTGAGGAATAGACTTCTCTGGAATACCCTGTATCTTCCCTTCCCTCGGCTGCTTTCCTGGCAAGGCTACACGTGTCCAATATATAGCAAGGGAGGAAGGCAGGGGGAAGGAACAGGTCTCTGACAGCCTGCCTTGTTCTTGCTTGCTGTACCCAAAGATGTCTTATGACCCTTCCTTCAGCAGCACAAGACCCGGAGAGGATCTTGAGGGTGGCAGCTTCTTGGAGGAAAGCAGTGGTGTGGGTGATGACGGTAGCATCCTGGGAGGGGACAGCGCAGTCACGGTGCCTCTGGGTGCAGTGCTGCTCATCATGTGCCTCACTGGAATGGTGGGGAACATCTACACCATGTTGGTAGCCTCCGGCAGGGTGGCAGGCCACTCAGCAGGCTCCTTGGGGGTCTATGTGATCAACCTAGCCCTGGCTGACCTCCTGTACCTCTCCACCATCCCCTTTGTGGTCTGCACCTACTTTGCCCACGACTGGTTCTTTGGGGATATGGGCTGCAGGCTTTTGCTCAGCCTGGACCTTCTCACCATGCACGCCAGCATCTTCCTCCTGACTGCCATGAGTCTGGAGCGGTACTGGGCAGTGTCCAGGCCACTGCGGGCCAGATGGGCGAGCAATGCTTACCGCAAGCTGGCCAGCGCTGTCCTCTGGCTCCTCTCGCTCCTGCTTACGGCCCCCATGATGGTGATGACCCAGCTGCGGGAGGAGGACGGCCCCCAGAAGCGCATATGCATCCCCACCTGGACACCGGCAGCCTTCCGGCTCTACCTGACGGTGCTCTTCACCACCAGCATCCTGGCACCCGGCGTGGTGCTGGGCATCGTCTACACCCGCCTGGCCTGCGCATACTGCTCCTCCGCATGGGGCCTGGGGCTGCTGGTGGCCGGCAGGGTCCCTGCCCGGCAGCTGTTGTCCAGGATCTCTGCCATTGTGGTGGTTTACTGGGCCTGCTTCCTCCCCTTCTGGGCCTGGCAGCTGGCTGGGCTCTACTGGGGTGAGGGGCTGGGCATTGGTGCCACCACACAAGCCTACCTCAACTTCGGGGTCACCTGCCTGGCCTACAGCAATAGCTGTATCAACCCCTTCCTCTACACCCTACTCACTCGCAGCTATCGCCAGTGCCGCAGGGTAGGCATGGCACGGCCACCAGCACCATCCTAGGAGCCATGGAAGGGCTAAGGGGAGGCCACAGCATCCCTCCACTTAGTGGAATCATAGAGTCACAGAATGGTTTGGGTTGGAAAGGACGTTAAGATCATCTAGTTCCAACCCCCTGCCATGGGCAGGGACACCTCACACTAGTCCGTGTCACCCAAGGCTCTGTCCAACCTGGCCTTGAACAGTGCCACGGATGGAGCGTTTTATCACTTCTTTGGGCAGCCTGTTCCAGTGCCTCACCACACTTACAGTAAAGAACTTCTTTTGTACCTAACCTGAACTTCCCCTGTTTTAGTTTGAGCCCATTACCCCTTATCCTACTGCTACAGTCCCTGATGAATCATTCCTCTCCAGCATCCAGTTTTGGGAGAGCTGTTGAACTATGGGGGATGAGCAGCATCCCAGGTTGGGAACATTGGCTGGGGTTGAGCCAAGAAATAAAAGTGCATCACCCTCCATGCTGGCATGCAGTGTCTTCTGTTGTCATTGTTCCAGTGCTTTCCCCTTCACACCTTCCTCTCTGCAGCGCTGCTCACCCTCCTCGGCTCGGGGGGATGATGTGTGTCTTGGGGATCCTGGCTCCATCCTTGGGTCCTTCAGCTCTCACATGCCAGCAAGTGGGCGGAAGGGAGGAGTCAGCCTCGATACTCTAAATTACACAGCTGGGGAGCCCTCGCCACCTCTCACCTCCTCGCTAGCAACGGGCCAAGCCATAACAAAGTCAGGACAACAGTGAGTCACAGATTTCACAGGACCAGTGAGTCACTTCGAGGAGCAGCCACACTAGCAGGAGACCTGAATTAGGTTCATCACTTGTGGTAAAGCTTACACTTGGCTTTCATCCCCCACCCGCCACAGAAAAAATCCCTTTGAAGCATCTTGCTAAAAAAAGACTCCCAAGTGCAGTTAAGAGACATGGTGAGATTGCCCTGAAGTACAGCCTGGGGATGTCAGCACATTTGCTGAGCTCTCAAGATCAGCCCAACAGAAGAAGCTGTAAGGAGACTGTGTGTCCATCTTCACAGCTCATGCAGGGGGCCCTCAGCCGCACCATGTCTCTGCTAAGGTTGAGGAAATCCCCAGTTCCAGACTGTGCCAACACCACTGTATAAACTGGGCCAGGTCCATTTAGCCTAACATGGGTCATTCCATGTGTAGGAATAAACCCTAAACCCTCTTCTTATCCCCAGAAAGGATGGCCTCATTCACACCGCCCCACAGTAAGAGCCTCCAAGTAATGCTGTCCCCCAGCCATGCCTATGCACAGGGTGGCAATGTTAGATGTTGTATTTACTATTACAGATGTAGACCTAAAGAGTGGGATATGATCACAGAATCATGGAATGGTAAGGGTTGGAAAGGACCTTAAGATCACCCAGTTCCAACCCCCCGCCATGGGCAGGGACACTTCACACCAGACCATGAAACTCAAGGCTCTGTCCAACCTCGCCTAGGACACTGCCAGGGATGGAACATTTACCACTTCTTTGGGCAGCCTGTTCCAGTGCTTTCCAGAGCAGACTGGCTTTGAGCAACATGGGGCTTCAAGAGAGATCCATCTGCAGAGCCTCGAGTTGCTTGTATACCCCATGTATTTCTGCCTCCCAGCTTAAAAGCCCATCTTGAGCCCTTGTCTCCAACTTGTCTCTCTCTTCCTCCCCAGCCCCCCAGTTCCTAGCAGCCAAAACTTCCTCTGCCATGGGTACCTGAGACGCAGGACTTGGCACAGCTTCATGAAATACAGAGCTGCTGCTGTAGGGGCAAGTCCCAGTGTTGCAGCTACTCTGCAACTGCTTAATGGGAGGTTTCCACCCAGCCAGGCCTGTAGGGAGTGCTTGTAGGACATCAGGTTGTTGGTGCTTCATGTTGCTCATGGCCAAGCCTGAAAAGGAGGACACAAAGGTTGGGTCCTTCCATCCCAACTGCTGTGCACTATGGAAAGGGCAGCTCCCACTTCTGCCATGCCCACCAACAGTAGTCATTGTTCCCATAGTAGCATTAGAGTGGGAGAGCCCCAGAGGCAGCTGCTGGCTCACACCTTGGGTAATGACCCACAGCCCACTGAGAACTATGCTGCAATACCAAACATGCCTCATTAGCTCCACACTTCTCAGAAGCCAGCCTCAGTTTATAGGTGGAGAAGTGCTCTGGCTCATTTGAGCTAATACAAGTGAAGGGGTAACAAAAGCATCCTTAGCATCCCACAGCCCAGCTGGGCATTACCACCTCCCCCAGCTCCAGATAGACCATGCAAGGCACATGGGGAAGAATAAAAGCAGACCTCTCCAGATCACCACCCTCCTGTGCCACATCAGCATTTGTGCTTCTGCAGTTGTTGGATGAAGACCCCAGTACCTGCTTGGCCACACTGAGGCATCCTTTCCTACTGCTGCCCCAGGCAGCAGTAAGAGGTCCTAAGAAGACATAGGAGAGTTGTGTTCCAAGTAGGATGAACTACAGATGGGTGCAGGCCAAGGCTAGCACAGCTGAGGACTACTCCTTCATTCCATGCCCCACTAGGTTTACCTAGCACAGCAACTCAAGGCTACTCGAGGCCAGCCATGGATGCTTAGTTTAGGGAGTGAGAGTTAATAAATCCAGTTTACTCAGGAAGAATAATGAGTCAGTCTAGACCTCAAGAGCAGGTGACCTTGCCTAAGGGACCCTTCCACTCTCCCCCTCAGTCACACCTAGCCCCATGGTTTGCCCCAAGCCTCTCCTTGGGCTTTTTACCTTCTGCCTCCTAGGCTTTCGACCCTCACCCTCCTCTCCGTCCGTGACTTTTAAGACTGGCACAATGTCACCCACATATGGTTGGCTTCCCTCACCCCTCCAGCAAAGTGACCAACCCACATGGACTTGCAGTATGAAACAGATTAGACTGAGACTGGGTAAGACAAAAGTTATTTATTGAATGATATTTCTGTATCTTTGCAATGAAGGGGTCAGAGAAAAGTTATTCCCAGCTGAGGGACTGCAGTGTGAAGTCTCCTTGTGTATCAAAGTAGTCAAAGACAGCGAGACCAAGCCGGTTAGGGAACGTGAACTGGTGGCCTGGCAGGTGGACTGTCACATCATTTGGGTTGATGCTGAAAGTGATCTGCAAGGCAAATGGAAAAGTCAAAGGAACCTTCTGCCAAGACACCCTCAAGCTTTTCCCCTCCACAGTGTTACTGTGCCACCCTCCGCTTTGCAGGGTGAACATGCTCAGTAGCATAACCTGCTTTTCAACAGCAGGACTGTTATTCTGGTCTCCCAAGAGATACCCATTTCCTGCTCTGTTCAATAGTAACAACCCTTTGAGCTAGATGGGGCTTGCACCTTTGATCCCCACCCTCTGTCCCTGCTCAAAGCCCTGGGTGGTGGCACTGGCCAAGCAGGAGAAGCCAGCCACCTCCTGTACAGGGAGTCCCTGCAGTTGGGTGCCATGTGCCAAGCACTCTTCCTTCACCATGTCATGCACAGAGAGCACATCCCAGGACTCACCTCTGCAGTGCCCCCCTTCTGGAAAGGGAAGACAGTCTCCCTCTGCTCTGTACCCCACTCTTCCACCTTCTTTGAGTTGCACACGATGGTGTTCACATCACCATGAGCATCAAAACGAGGGTTGAAGTGAAGCCCAAGGTGGGAAGCATCCTTCCCCAGATTCATCACAAAGCTGCAGAGAAAGAAGACATCAATACTGTTTTAATCAACACTGTGGTAGCATGTTGCTCATCGCCATGAACATCTCCAAGTCTGTTGCTTTACCAGCTGAGGGTAACCAAAGAAAAGCCCTTTGCTGAACTGCACAACTTCCTCAAGAAGATGGTGCTGTGCCAGTAAGGGGTACTCTCCTCTACTGGGGTGATAGCCCCACAGTGCCATCCCTGGGAAAGGCACCACTTGGTTTCCATGAAGCCTTTAACAAGAGAAAGGTTCAGCACTCCGAGCCCTGAACAGGGAGTTACCCTGCACCCAAACCAGCTCCCAAGAAGACAGTTGCTTTCCACAATTTCCTCTCAGGCCCAAACAGTTAGCTGGCTCTGCATCCTGCCTGGCAGCCACTGCCTTCCTCCCCACCCTGCAGGCAGCTGTCATAATTACTATGTCATTAGCCATCCCAAAGCATCTGCAATGGCAGCAGGAGGAAGCCGATTCCCAGCCCAGTGTCCACCTTGGCCCCAGGCCTCTTACCCAGATGAGAGGAGACACTATTTGGCAAGAGAACACCCAGGAGGCTTCACTCTGATGCCAACGTGCTTCAAAGGCACTGGGAAGAGCTGGAACATGTTTCCTGGAACACCGCTAGTGCTGGTACAGCACCTACAGGCTCCACCTTACCCACCAAAGGACCTTACCAACCACAGACCTGCACAAGGGCTGGGGCTGCTGTGGAGCTTTCCCAGACATCTTGATCCCTGCACATTTAGGGATGCTTCCTTCCCCACTGGCATCTAAGAAGCATCTCCTCTGGGTGAAAGTGAGCTTCAACACCCCAAGATGCCCTGCTGCAACATGCAGCCTTCCCATCTGTACCATAAGCTGTGGCTGAGAGCATCCGTGGAGCCAGAGCACCTAAGACCTCCTAGCCACTTGAGTGACACAAGGCACTGTAAATGTGTTTCTACTCCTGGAACATCTTCATGGAGGGGAGAGGATGTGGCTGTGGGGATGCAATCGAACCAGATCAGATACACAAAGCTTCCATTTCCTTTACCCTGCTCTACAGAGGATATGGTCAGTGCCAGTGCACGCAGCTGGAGCTTCACATCTGCTTTGGCTTAGCCCCTTGGCAGTACAGTGCGTCTGCAAAGTGCATTAGGCAGTGACTCACTGTGAAGCTTTGGTAGCGTTAACCCCTTCCAAAGCTGCTCCTGTCCTACCCAAGGGAGGGATTCCTTTTGTCCCCAGCCAGCAGAAGACAGCTCAGTGTGGTGCCCCGACAGCACAGCTTACCTCTTGGCACTTGGAGCGATTTTCCCCTTGACAGTGAGGCGCTGGCCGGGCTTGAGACCCAAGTTGGTGCACACTGGTCCCTGGGGAACATGGAGGCAGAGACATTAGCTCAGTACCTGCTGGCTCACTTGCTCCCACGTGGCAGCTCTCCTTTCTGCCTTGCAAGTGCCTTGCTTTGGACCATGGGGAGACAGGGAAGCTCCCTTCCCCTAGGGCACTGCACCAGTGACATCCCATAGACATGTGCCCAATTTCCCAACCTTCCTCCTGCTGCTGTCATCAACTTATCTGTATTTCACAGCAGTAAAGCCTAAGTAACTGAAAGCTCCCATCACACCCACCCTGCTACAAACACACCTGCGTGCCTTGTGGGTCTCACCATCCCACACAAGCCTGGCTGCACATGGATGGAGCCTCCACTCCCTTCCATAGCTTGGATTTGAACTTCAAGCCTTGCCCATGTCCAGAGGCTCAGACACTTTGCTCTCCAGCTTCGAAGAGCTGGACTGATTTCTTTTGGCTCAATATTTGATCTCTTGAGGTCCCTTCCAACCCTTGGGATTTCTGTGATTTGCAAGAGCATTCTCATGCTCCATGTGCACACCTTTCCCCACCTCCTCGAGGAGAACTAAAATACCCTGGTAAACCCATATGTACTCATTTTCTATCACCACAGAGGAAGACCCCATCCCACTTTAATAGAGAAGTCTGCAATTGGGACACTCCCTGGTGAATCACCCTCTGTCTAATGAAAGATTAATTAATCAAAGGAGTGCAATCGCTCTTCTGACACAACCATCTACCTGGTAGATAGGACACTTCTGTACAGCACATTGTTCTTGTAAGAAAGGAAAGTAACGATTCAGTGACTCAGTAAAAACTCGGCCAGGAAGCAAGCAGCAGGACTGCCCAGAAAAGATGCTTAGAGAGCAATAAGCATTATGGCAACCGCTTCCCCAGAGCAAAGCTGCTGCAAAACAGGTTACCCCAGCTTGGGAGCCAACCCAGCAAGGACCCCCCACCCTGTTACTCCTAAAGGCATCCTGCAAGGAAAAAGAATCATGTCTGCTAGGAGAAGAAATAACAGCCACCCCTCTGCAATGGATGCAGCAGGCACCCAGCTCTAGCAGACCTTCTGACGTGGGGCTGAGGAGGATAGCGCCAATACCATCACAAGAAGCCAACACAGCACATTCCCACTCTGTGAAGCACCACCTGCAGCAAAGCTGCCCCAGCCCTTCCTCTACTCACGCAAGACATGGTGCTGCTCTGCAGGGTAATGCTCCTCTTCACCAAGGTGCAATAGTCCCAGGCAAGTAACTGTAGGGGCCCCACCCTTGTGCTTAAATAGATGGAGAGCTCAGTTGTCCCAGCCCTTCTCCATCCCAGCCACCAATCACACTGGGGAGAGGGTGGGAGGGCTTTGTTTTGGAGGGAGGGAAGGAGGACCTAATAGGCAGAGCTGCCTCCTCCCTGTCCTCAGCCCGGCTCCTCTCCAGGATGCTAACCCCAACCCTTCCAAGCAGGCTGCTGGCCGTTCCAGGAGGCGATCCAGCTGTGTGTGGCCATGAAGCCAATGGAAAATAGTTTTACAATGAGTGTTTTACTATCCAAGGCTTTTATCCCACATGGAAAACAGTCAGATGGATTTGAGACTTGGCGGGAAGGGCCTGGGAGGAGGGCTGGGCTCTTCAGCTCCAGCTAAATCAGGAGCAGGAGAAATAGCGCTGTGCACATAGAAACTCTTTGTGGTGCAGGTGAAACCCCAGGAACAGAGGACTGAAGCTGGATCCAGGGTCATGAGGCTGTGCCTAGCTGCCCACCCAGCCCTTACTGCTCACTCTTGTGGGTATAGGAACCAGAGAAGCGAATGTAGTCCTTACTCTGCAGAACCCCTAGATGCCCTCAAATCCTTGCAGTTCATCTTGGCTGTAAGGCACAGCAGGCCAAAAGGAAGCCGTCTTGGAAGGGTGGGGAGGAATTATCCAGGAAAGCTTAGTGCTTGGCTCTTGTGCCTACCCTGGACACAGCTGGGTGCTGAGGAACAAGGGGATGGGGGCAAAACTATCACAATAAGCCATAGGATCTATAATGTCTTTTATCTGCCTCCATGTTCTCTTTATGGCAAGCATGATTCACTCTGGGTGAAAGGATTCCTTTGGAAAAAGTTACCCAATTACTACATGGCTCAACTGTAATTAGGCTGAAAGAGGAGGGGAAAAATTCAGGCACCAGGCCAAGCTTGTGGCTTAAAGCTCTCCTTGTCTTGCGTATTTGTCTCTAAATCACAAGACTGTGATTTCCTTAAGGGCCCCAGAACTGAAACTCACTGAAGCACTTTCTTCTTCCCTTTCCATGGGGCCCATCAGTTCCCCTGCTGCTGAGGACGTGATGGTCCCCAGCCATCTTACCCCTGTCAAGCACAACCCCAGAGGCCCTCAGTCCTGGGTATTCCCCATCAATGCCTGCTGGTGTTGAGGAGGACATGGTCAGGCTCCAGCCTTTGGCCAGGTTGTTGATCACCCCATGACGCAGGGGGCTGGAGCAAAGGCCAAAGTGGGCTTCTCTGCTCTGCCATGGGCGCTCCTTCTTTCCCCCTTTGGAAACCTGCCTCAGGGTTCAGCCCTTGAGCCTGATCCTTTCCATGTGCTGTGGGACGCGGAAAAGTGCTCCATACTAACAGGAGAAAAAGGATCTAGAGACAGCTTCTTCTCTGCTCGGGATATGTGTGTAATCAAATCAATTCCTTTTCAATCTAAGGTTTTGTGAGACTGAACCCCTTTAAAGGACTCCAAGGTCCTTATCTCCAAGCAGATAAGCTGCTGCTGGAGCCATGGTCTAGCTGGTTGCAAAAGCCGGTCTATGATACCCTTGAGGCCCTTCTTGTTCCCTTGAAAGAATGTTGGATGGGGAAGGGAAGTGTGTAAATATTTGCTCACTGGGAACTGGAGATGGGGAATGCCATTTAAGATGTATGGGGTGGGTTCTGTGTTTCCTGCAGTGTTTCTGGCAGCTGGGCACTGTCACCCAGCCTTAGTAGATACCAGCTCCTTGAGTCATGCCTGTCCAAATGCTGCTGCAAAGATTAGGGACCAGCTCATGGATAACGAGGGAGGGGATACCAACCCAGAGGAGGCACTGGAAGGGCTGTTCACATCAAGCAAATTCAGCCTTCAGACTTGTGTCCACCTCAGGCAAACTGTGTTTCTGTGATGGAAGTCCACGTGTCTTTGCTGGCTTTCAAAGAGCCTTGGATTAAATGGCATTTGCATGAGAGGTTAATAGCATGGGCAAGGGTACCTTGGGGTGTCCCACTGCCTGTAGGCCATGGGCTACCTCCGTCATTATAATGTCATGTCTCCCTTCCTACCTCTGGGTTAGAGGTGAGGTGAAGGGGATCTAAAGGCCCAGGATGAGAGTCCTTATAACGTAAGGCTGAATTCAGGGGAGGGAAGGTGCATGCTCACCCTGATGGTGAAGGAAGGTCCCTGCTTCAGCACACTGATGATGCAGAGATGCTTGCCCGTTGTTTCCAGCACCAGTGTGGTGTAGGAAGAGCCACTGTGGGTTGAGGACAGAGCCAGGCTGGCTAGAGCTCGCAGTCCTCACCTCCTGTCACCGTACCCCTTATCAGTGTGTGGCTGGTCAGCCAGCTAGGGGATGTGCCACCAGGTTATCAGCCCATCCAATCTGTAAAGGATGGACCTGAGGAAGATGGGGACAGATCATAGCAGACCTTGGTGGCACAGGCTTATCCCACTATGTGGGAACTCAGCAGTGGGATAGAGCTTTTCTCCTCCACCTTTCCAGCCAAGCTATTCCTCACCAGGAGAGCTCTCCTGCATCACACTGCAAATCCTTACTTTGTATTAGAGGGAGATCCACTGACCGGTGGATCGTCGTACCTTGTGAAGCAAAAGATCTTTGCCCAATTCAAAGGGAGTGACTGGTCCTGATGCTGTTGCTGCAAACAGTGCCCTTGGCCATGCCAAACTCTTGGCCAGAGGCAGCTGTGAATGTGGAGAAGGGAGTAGTGTCTGTGGGATATTACTTCAGCAGTGTCTCATCTCTGGTTACGAGGGTGAGGCCGCTGGTGTTTGCATCTGCACCTGCTTTCTCCAAATTGGGATTGTGTGTCCTTGGACAGGATGGGGCCACAAGAAGAGTGTGCAAAAGAGCCTGTTGCCATGATGGGGCAGACCATATTCACAACCAGCACGTGTATGCAAGGCCAGAAATCACAGCAAAGACCCCACCACCCATGTCCTATGCTAGGGGTTATGCATCCCGCTCAGGTCCTGACCCTGAGTACCTCTGCTGTGGCCTGTGCTTCAGTGACAGGCTCCTGGGGCTGCCCTCTTGCTAGCCTTTCCTTGCACAATGTCCCTGTCTGCTCACTCCTCGCTGGAAAGAGCAAATTGCCCTTGTATGGTGGGAAATACCAGCCAGCCCTCAAAGAGTTGCTGCTGCCTTTGAGACCTGAGGTCATCCCTTGATGCTGGCTGTGACCAGTCATTCCCATAGAAGGGACTGGACATTCACATCTGTAGCTAGGGTTGCCCATGATCTTCATTGTGGCTGTCCTCCCAGGGCCTCAGCCTTCTTCCTTGACACCCCTTGACACTCTCCTTGACACCCAAAGAACCTGTGTTGATCTCTCCGTGCTGAGATGGCACAGTTTCTTAAGCTCCCAGCTTTCCTCATGGGCATCCCCACCCCTTCCAACCTCCAAGTTGCAATTCAGCTTAGGTTGAAGAGGGAAACACGATTGCCAAGTGTGAGTTTCATCACTGAGAGTAGCTTTGATTTAGGGCCTGCCTTCTGGTCTAGCTGATAGGCACTGGTATGGCTCAGCAGACTGAGACTGGTCCTGCGTGCTGAGGGCTGGAGTCTAGCTACTGCACGTTGTGAGGTTGCATTGAGCTGCTGGGTGGCTCTAACCAAGGTGGTTTGGCAACTGCCAAAGGAATAGCCAAGTCAGGCAGGTGTCTGAAGCAAAAGAGGGAAGATCTGCCCCAAGTCTGCTTGTGAGGGATGCAACGATAGATGGGGCATCCCAAGTCGTGACCTTGGAAAGGGCTCGGTTGAAAAACACCTGGACTACGTGACCAAAGTCCACCTGTATACATTGCTCTCCAGCTGGCAAAGAGACTTTCAGCTGCAATTACCCCTTCTGTGATTTGCAACATCTTTCCACTGGGAGAGCATCTTTGTACCTGTTCAGCCACTTTGTGTTATGTGGGCTGTGGTATTTTGAATTCAGGATTAGGTGCGCTAAACTCAGATTTATTATCTCGTGGACACAGAGCCTCACATCAGGAATGAGCCACAGCAGGATCTCCCAAGCTTCGCCTGCTAAAGCATTTCCAACCACATCCAATTTCCTGGATTAGAAGCCGACTGTGAGGCTCCAGCTCCTGCTGACTCCAGAATCTCTGCTTTCATTAAACCAGTATGGAAATATGTTCCCCAGTAGTGAAGATAATCCTGCAAATGTTATCAAAGGGTACCTGCACAAGGTGAATTATCCGGGCGAGCCTGAAGTTACAGCTTGGGGAAGCGGGAATGACTCCTGCTCATGCTAATAACAGTGGGATGTGTTAGACACACCTCCAAGTGTACCCCAGCAGCTCCCCAAATCCATACTCCGCAACCTCCTATCCTGTACCTCTGGCTGATCGCATTGGGCTCCATCTCATCTCTGGGGTCCAAACCCTCCACAGGCTTGGTGGGGAAGGGAGTGCTCCTAGTCTGTCAGATGGGGTAGCATCCTGACAGGTTGGGAGGGCAAGGAGGGATCCATGGGGAGCTTGGATCAGACTGGGTCAGACCATGGAGATGTGGGGCCCAAGCCTTTCAATTGCCGTTCTGCCATGTAGCAACAGCAAGAAGCCACCTACTAATCTAGGTTAGCTCCTCCACCTGGGTGATAACAGGAGGACTCACTGCCTGACGGCACTAGAAATACTGACAGCACAGCAAAAACGTGCCAAGCCTTTGGTTAACTTGGACATGAAGGATCCTGACTGAGTTAGCAGATCTGTAATCCCAGCCAGGCAGTGGCTGCTCGGGAAGGCCTCAGGCCATTTGCACCTCAGTTTAAGGGCACTTGGCCCAGGGTGGCACAGCAAAGGTGAATCAAAGAGGGCCTGATGCTGCTTGGTTTTGACACAGGGAGGTTGCTTGCAGTGACACAGCCTGGACTGGGTGGTTGCTGCACGTAGAGTATTGCCAAGAGCTGCAAATGAAGGTGAAGTAAAGCCTTGCAGCAGGTCAGGCAATCACTGCAGAGACAAAGTGGGACAGCACGCCAGAGCTGGGAGGTGAACGGAGTGAGGCTTAAGATGTCCTGTAGGTAAAGTACAATTAGGGACCTTGTAGAACTCTGCCACACAGT